CTTGCACTCCTCAGTTATCGATGCGTCTCCCTCTCGAGCAGATTGGTTCTCCGGTCTATCCTCACCCATAGCATCATCCTCTTCTCCATCCGACTCTGCATCGTCTTCCATCATCTCTGCGTCATCTGCCATCGCCTTCAGCTGCCCGATAGCCGCCATAGCCCTTAGAGCTTGATACTCGGGGTCCTTCATGTGGAAGCCGGCCGCCGTGTAAATGATCACTTTCATCCGGTGCCAAGAACCCCTATCTCCGGCTGACACACAGTGAGCTTCGGACTTACCACACATTGTCTTCCACACCGACTCGTCTATCCTGGCAGCCATCTCCGTATACACCCCTTGTCTATCCGATGTCCTAAGGCTCTCCGTGGCTCCCGTGATCTTTGTCTCTGGCACAATCACTTTCGTTTTTCAGTGACCGGTCTGCCTTCGCCACTTCTATCCAGCGTCTGAGCCAGACTCCAACCTCTCCAATGCTATCCCTGCCCTCCTCGCTGATCACCTCCCTAATAGCTGAAGTTTCCCTATCATATAACTCCATGTCTCGCGGGGTCGGCCACATCATTCCAAACATCGAGATGAACAGGATCTGCGCCCAGAAGCCGAACGTTCGCCCGGCACTGCAACTTTCCCGCGTCCACCCCTATTCGAGGAAACGCCGTACGCATAACGTTCCAAGGCAGAGTGATGATTCCAGACTTCTTCATCAGTTTATCCATGGCTTCTCCAGCCCTTATCAGCTCCTTAGCCTCCTCCCTGACTCTGTAGTTAGTGGGGAATCCATTCTCTTCGAAATTTCCGGGCCCTACCCAGAGCACATTGGCATTGGCTTTCCTGATCGTCTCCCTCGTCTCCCTCGCCACCTTGGTCTTAGTGTCATCGTCCGTAGCCTCGAACCGTCTAACCTCGTCTATTGCTCGGCGAGCATTCCCTGCTGCCATTCCAGCCGGGGCCAATACCACAACAATGTTCGTCACTTGATTCCCTCCCATGCCCTTCGAGACGCATTCCTTGCACACTTCCTGAACCTTCTTGTACGCACCCTGGTAGGTCATCTCCTGCGTTCCTGTCAATTTGTGTGTAATGAACGACATACTCTCCGCGGCCTTTCCATAGTCTCCGTGCGCCTTCAATAGCATTGCTATCCACTCTCGGACTTCCCCTGGTGACGCCGGATTCTTCTTATTCGAGACGCCCTCTATCCCCTCAGGTATGATGATGTGTACGTAGGTCTTCTGATCCGCACTACATCGGAGCTGAAGTGGCGGCTTCATTCCCTCCGCCCACCATGTCACCAGCTCAGCCGCCTTGCGCTCATGGAATGCAGTAGCTATGTCAAACATCCACTCGTAGGTCTCGACCGCGGACTGCTCGAAAGCGCTGGCTCCATCAATCTCCCTCCAACTCCGCCCATTCCTATGCCAATGATAGCCGCCCAGGCCTGAGCCTCGAACGCCCAGCTCTGGTCGACGTCCTCCGGTCTGTTCCACCCATATTTCCTGGGTGCCTTTTCTATCCCCAACACTATGCTTCCCACGTCCGCCATTTCCAAAACCTTGCCCATGTGGTGCGTGGCCTTATTCGCGTTCTCCATGACTTTCTCCTCTATCCCGCTGCTCTCCACACACCGTCTGTAAATGGCTGGCCCCACAAAACTCCTCCACGGCATCTTCACGACAGCGCTATCGTGTCCCGTGGCCATTAGAGGCCCATATACTCCAACAAACGTATCACATTGGCCCATTCACTATCCACCGGGTAGTAGTCCTTGTCTCGATCAGGCCCAGACACGCCCCCACCGCTAGGCAACTCCGCTATCCATCCCCTCATGAGCTCTATCAAACCACTTCTTGAGCCAGTTGGCTGTTCGACGACCTTCGTGACATTTTCGTCACCTTCCCGATGCAGGAACTCGTGTTCCATCTTCCAATCCACAGGGCGCTCAGGAAGAGGTCCTCGGGCCGGGCCTATAATTGCGCGCTTTTCCAGGTGATATCGCCAATACAGCCTCTCAACCCCTTGCGGGTGCTTCTCCATCAGCGCCGACATCTCACTCATGAGATGGCTATTCGCTCCTAAACCCGGGTGCTTCGGCCTACAGATGAGTGCATGCCCGATGATCTTCGTGGCCCTCATAAAGCAGAACAGTACCCCGTCTATCTCCACTCTATCCACATCCATTCGGATCTGCCCGTCAGGCACCGACGATCTCCTTGTCCCCACATCCATTTTGACATTCTTGCCTATCCTTCTGAAGCCGGCCAGTACTCTTACTATCCATCCATTCCCTAACGAATGCCATGTAGAGTATGATGCTGTACCACAGATGCTTCGTCCAAACCAGCATCCCGCAGAGTCGTTCACACTGGGAGCGCCGGTCGTCCACGTGACCAGCGGATGGCTTCGATCTATCCCACCAGATGCTATCATCGACCACAACGCCTCTAGAGACGTTCCGTGGAAAATCCACCCGGGCACATTGAACTCCTCATTCCCGACCGACATCTCCTGATTCAGCTTCTCTGCTCCGGCGTACTCGGCCTTCGTGGGTACCCACATACATCGCGAATCCGTGAAATGTTCTTTCACATCCTTAATCCCCCCGTCTGCCTGGACCTCCGGAAATGTGATCACTTCTTCGGCCAGGGACCAGTGCAACAGGTGTAGAACTGACGTCGGTCCCCCTATCTGCCATGACAGTGTATCCAGATACTCCTTCATCTGTCCATTTGCTGCATTCGCCATAACTCCGTATCCTTTTTCTCCCCCCTCGCTTCTCCGGAATTCCTCCATCACGTCTCTTCCTCTCTTCAAGTATTGGCTTTCGTAGGCCCCCATAATCTCGTCTGCCATGCCTATCACCTTGATCTTGGGCTGCGCCTCCGTCCATATCTTCAGCTTCTCCTCGCTCGACTTATGGCTGACCGCTATCCGCTCCGCAACCTGAGACGGTGGAATTGCATACTTCAATGGTCGCACGGCCAACCATGTCATCATGCCTTTGATCGCATCATCGAACGGGCTCTTCTCTGTGTCGTCCATGTGGATCTCCGCCCAATCTAGGTTCTTTCTGCTGATCCCTCCCCAGCTAGCCCTGAACGGGTCCGTGTTTCCGTTCGTGACGTCATACACCCCTCCCACAGAGATGGCTATCGGTGCCACACCAGCTATCATCCTCTCATATGATCTCCCCTTCTGGAAGGACTTCTCTGTTTCATCAGTCGCGCCGATGAATTTAGGGGCCCATGGCGTATCAACGTCTCCTCCCGTGCCCGCTGTGGGCATGGCACATCCCGGCACGTCCATCCCTCTGGCCAATCGCACCCCTATCAAGTCGTTCAGCTTCTCCTTCGACAGGTTCCCGGCATCAGGACTCGCCTGGGGTGGCGGCTTCGTCGCCCCTCCATGCGACCTTGGCCTATCCCAGTTCGCTATCACCCTCTCCAGGTAGTCCGTGGCATCCGTCACAGTCGCAGCTATCAGAGGGATCTTCTCCCTTATCCATGCTTCAGGATTCCGCCTTGTACACCGTAGTACCTCCCAGAGATACATAATCTTGTGCACTCGCATTCTATCCACATCGTATCCCACGGCTGATCGCTTACCTCCTTTCTTCGCCGTCTTGGCCTGGGCCTCTTCCGCTCGCACACCAGCTATCCCACTGCTCATCCATTTCTTGAAGTCTGCATCGTCCTTGAATTGGCTGGGGATAGCCCGTCTAGCCCATACCTCCTGCACCTCTAGATTTCCCTCCAACATCCAGTGTATTCTAGCCTGTTCTCGCTCCTTGGTTCCAGCTGGCAGATATGAGTACGTCGTCACCCCTGGCACTCCATCCTCCGTCTCGGCCTTGAGATATCTATCCGCGTCGGAAAACACTTTCTCCAGGAAGTCTATCATGGCCTGTGCTCGATCACATCGTTCCCTCTCTCCTGCATCCCTGGCCTGATGCTCCGGGCGTTGCCATCGTATCCCTATTGTCCTCGAAGACGAAGCTGTCCCAGGATCTTCACTGCTTCCGATATCTCTATCCCGCTCACTCAGCGACACCGAACCGAACATCTCTCCCATGGCTCCACGCTATGCAGGTCGCTAGAGCCCTCTTCTTCCTTACACCTGCATGCAACTCAAGGTCACACAAAAGTCGCTCTAGTCAAGACGTCGTTGAAGAGCATTACAAAGTGCTTCAATATTCACCATATCGCTACTTTCTATCCGAGCCTTTGATTCTTCTTTAATGTATATGGTGCATTGTACGTCCTCTCCTTTGTCATGAAGCTCTCCTATCTGCGTCTTTCCCCGCATTCGAGCCAGTTTTCCACGTGCAGCAAGAATTCTCGCTATTCCCTCGGATATGGCGGCATCGCTGCGATTGATCAGAACAATCCCGATGCCCGCAGCGATCACTCTATCGACTAGTAAAGCTAGGCTATCAGCCGCACTTTGGTCCTTTCTTCCCAGCTTAAGCTCTGCTCCGCGGGCTAGTCGAGAAGGCGAGTCAACTCGCTTCGGTGCTATCACAACTATCCCGTCGCACTCACCGACGATCGCCTCATCGACCTCCAGAATTGGCGAGTGTTTGATATCCCACACCATTTCCCAAATTATCCATCTTCCCACTATGGACTTTGCTATCCCGACGTTATCCCTGATGTCATACTCGAGCTGATTTTGGGATACCCCCCGGCACGCGGGCATAGCTAAGATGGTTCCCGTTGCGTTCCCGAACTCCTCTTCACCGAAATGTGCGGTAGTGTACATATCCCTTAACCACTCTCGTGCTTCATTGATGGCCTTGGTCATCATGTTGGCAGCCTGATACTCAGTAGGACAATTGACAAACGTGAACATGACTGCCTCGTAGAACTGGTTCAGCCTAGCTATGTCTATTCGTTGTGTTCTAGACAGGTACCTCATGTTCGGATTCTTGCCCGAGACAATCACTCTAACAGCCGCCTCATTGTCTTCTGCCACTATCAAGGGTTCTATACTCTCCTTCATCATCTCCCATCTAAGTTCTCTTTGGGCCCCACAAGCTTGAAGTCGTCGACGTAGATCACCAGCATCAGCTTCAGCTCCTTATGGAAGAACACACTAGGCCAATCTGAGAGGAATTCGAAGCCGACCTCAGTCACGGCCTTTTCGCAGTGCTTTTCCCAGAACCCCCCGGCATCCGGATGCCCGTATAAAGCTAGTCTCAGTGGCACCACGGGGTCGTCTATGCCCTCCCATTCATCTGGCCACCTATCCCTCGGGATCCGTATCCATGTTTTAGGCCCCCCCCAACAGCGCCTGCGTGTATGCCGACTCACCGTCCGACATCTCGATGTCATGTCCTGGCAGCATCCCATAGGCATCCGCCATCTTGCCTGCCTCAAGTGTCGCGGGACATGATGTGATTTCCTGAAAGATGGCCCACTTTCCCTCCTGGTCTTTGACATGACATCCCTCAAACACAACTCTCCCCTTATACTTTCTAAGAGGATCGTCTTCAGCAAGCTCCCAGTTCTTTTCCACACAGATGTCAAAGATACGACCTACATGAGCTATTTCCCCTCTATCCATTGCCTCCCGTTGAACGTCCTTCCACGAACGCACCTCCTCCATTATCCAGACCACTTGATCCATCAGCTTTTTCCATTCTTTATCAAGCGCTGCCCGAGCCTTGGGGTTGATCGCCCTCTCAGCCTTCGTCACGGGTCTAGCGACAAGTCCGAAAACTTCCTCGATGTCCTCCTCTTCGTCCTCTATGATTGTGGCCATCAGTGGCTCACACTCTCCCACTGTCTCGTCGATGCTATCACACACTTCATTTTCCGCAACCTCTTCCCAACTATCCTCTTGATCTGCATCCACCTGTATAGCAGGGACTGCGACTATTCCATCTCCATACTCCTCGTCTTCAGTCTGATAACCCTGCCGGATCAAATTATCAACGGGTGTAGTATGCTTGTTCATGAAGCATGCGAAGCAAAGCGTCATCGACGTGAGGATCAAGCTAGGTACCTTGGCTTTTCCCTCCAACAGTCGTCGACATTCTCGGCACTTGTATGTCCTATTCGAGACATGCTTGATGCCGATTCGCCGCCTATCCTCATCTCTACTCCTCCTTGCTCTCAGCCCATGATCCACACTATCCCTGTCTCTTTCCCTCGCACGGGCCTCTCTTGCCCAGATTGCTTTCTTGCTCTCCCGATGTGCCCTACGATGTCTCACTTCCTTCACGTTCTCAGGCATCATGCACCCGCGCATCCTCGGCCGTAGACATACTCCCTTAGCGAATTCCATTCTCATGATTGGCCCCCCTCCTCCTCCAAACGTGATGGGAAAGCTATTTCTATTCTGTATAGCCACCAGGATCTCTCGCTCAGGTGATACCTCGTATCCTATGACGTCGCACATGGTTTCTGCCACAAGCTGCCCGAGCGCAGACACTCTTACACTGGTGCCAGGATCTTCCGGATACGCTATCCCAGTACGAACCCAGGTGTATCCTATCAGTGGAACGTGGATGTCGTCCTTTAGTTCGAGGACTAGTGCGTTCCTCTCTGCCTCCCACATGACTATGTTGCATTCGCCCTTCTCCATAGTTTCGAGGTTAATGGTTTCGGCGTGTCCGGCCCTGAAGAATGCCTCATCCACCGGTTCCCGTTCCTCTTCTAGGTCTGACAACGTCCATCCTTCCGAGTCAAACACATCGCTCTGGTCGTCGAATCCGGGGTTTTCCTCTCTATCTTGGTCATGGCGCCGATCTGCGTCGTGGTTCTCCCTCTCCCCGGTCAGCACTATCATCCATCCGTCCCCGTTCAGGTCTCCCACCTCAAGCTCTTCTCCAGGGTAAGCTACTGCGGCCCCTCCGGTGCTATGTCTGATGCGGCGACTGTTCTGCTTCGTCATCATAACCTTGCCTATGTCGTCGCCGTCAACCAGGATCACGCGCAGATCTTGTGTGTGTTTCGCTCGTGGTCCGAAGATCTCCCTCAATGCCTCTCGGCCAGGATTGTTCATAACTATGCATCTTTTCCATCTGATCTCCTCACGACTGATGTATGGTGCCCCATCCTCGGCCGCCGCAGCAGCATAGTTCCTTATCAGCGTCTGATCTTCTCTATCCGTAGCATATTCTTCGTGCTCGTCGTCCCCCTCCATGTCTATCACCCAATATGAGTTTCCTCCGTTCATTCTTCTCTTGGCTATCTTCAACAGCTTTTCTAGTGATCCCCCAGTCTCGTCGCCTCTAATCGTTCCCTTTTCCAGCTGTGCCAAGGAGTCCACGTCCAGTGTCACCATACCACTGCTATATCCGAGATAGTCTCCCTCGTGTTCTTCACATGCCATCGACACCGAATCACCCTCTTCCTCGCCGCAGATGTCTATCACGTCCTTTAACACCTTGATCATTTCGCGTATCGCTTTACCCTCCTGCTCTCGCCGTACGTCTATTTTCGCGTCCGATGTCCTCACTATGCGCGACATCAAGTCATGATCCCTTGGCATGTGATCGCATGCTAACATGTCCGCCGCGATCGCATTCATCATGCATGGTGTGACGACTCCTATGTAACACGACGCGTCTACCCCGTCATGCATACCCAGCATGCATCCATCACTCCGCACTATCCACATGTCCCAGGCAAGCGCCATTCGAACAATGGTCTCGTCAGCCATTCGACTTTTACCGCCTATCCAGATGATCGTGGCCACTATTCCTCTGCTGTTGGCGTCTGTGATAACCTTTTCTACATTGCCAAATACTCTTTCTCGAGCCTCTCGCGTACTATCTAGGCCTTCCTCACGTCTCCACCCGGATGCCTTCCGATCAACCTCTGTCCTCATGCCGTCGCTAGACGCATCGATAGCAATGACCACATCCGTCACACCCTCTCCTATCACGCATCCTTCCCCCGATATCCAAGATACGTTCTCACCTCCGTTACCCCCGATCTCTTCTAATCCGACCCCCATGATCTGCACTTTAGGCTGTTCGCCCAACTCCCTCATCATTTCCCCAACGATGTTGTCGGACGGCGTTCGCGCTATTCCAGCTGTGCTGCACAATTGGTTGATGGTTTTCGTAACCTCCTCAGTATCCCCCATCCTGGACGCCGGTGCAGCAGGTTCTGCTGATTCTCCTCTATCCCTGATTCGTCGGTCTTCTCCTCCGTCGGGGATGTACCAGAACTCCGTGATGATGTCCCTGGGCACAACGAATCGGTATCTCCCTCTATTGCGCATCATCTCTGCCTGTATACAAGAGTCGTACTCAATGGATTCTAAGACCTCTCCAGTATTAGCGCTCCGAGTGACTCTCCACCAGAGCTCAAGCCGTCTTTTGTCCCTTCCGCCATAGAATCGGTAGGATGTGGCGCGATTGTTTCTTACTGCCCATACTCGGCCACCCTCAGGCATTCCCGGTGGGGGATCCCATCGGTACTCCGGCGGTGAGAATTCCTGGCCATGGTCGGTGATTTTCTCCATCCATTCTCGAACTCCAATTTCTGCGGGACGCGGTCCTATTTCCTCTTGCCCTCGAACGGCCGAAGGGGGCCTCTCTCCTCTGATGATCCTCTCTTTGTCTCCCTCGATATAACGTAGTCGCTGTCCCGGGCTCATCCTATTCCACTCTGCTGACGAAATGGAGTTGGGTTTGTGAGATCTCGCGTACGGCCGCTCTATTCTGGGCATGTCTTGTTCGTAGTCTAAACCCACCCCCCGTATACCCGTCGCCTTCTCTCCCCGCGCCCGCTCCTTGGCTTCATCATCTATCTCTCCCTCAGGCTCCCCCTTTTCCCAGAACGTAGTGCACCCCGTCCATTTCTTGGTGATCTTCTTCTTGCCCTTCATTCTATCCTCATCCAGCACCTCCGATGTACCATCGGCGTACACTATCCACGTTCGCCTCCTTGGACCCAGCTCTCTATCCCCGGGGCCACCTGTACCTTTGACCTCCTCGCCTGGGGTACACAGCTCCTTTCGGGGTAAGATGTGATGAAGCGTCCACGAATGGTCTATCTCATCATGTTCCCAGAAATCCCCGTTTTGAAGATGCTGATCGTCGCACTTAATTTGTCTCATCACATCGGCTCGTACCCTTCTCTCCTCTGCGAAGATTTCCTCCGTCTCCTCTCCTTGCTGCCCCTCTCTCTCCAGTTCCAATCTGGCCAGGGCATCAGCTCGAGTCGCTGTCATGATTCTCGACTTCCTATCAGCCACAGCTTGCGTCGGGAAGTAGTTGGGCATCTCCTCGTCAAGTACTATCCTCTTCACGCGGTGTATCGACGGTACCGTCCATCCGTGATACAGGTGCGCCAGCTCAACCACTATATAGTCTCCGCTCGGAACACCCCCTGGTTGGAGCGCGTAACCTAGGAACAACCCGGGTGATGTCGGAGTGTCGAACTTCGCCTTGGATGCCACGGCATACGCTTGCTCTTCCTCGGCGTCGTGATCTACATATTCTTCCCCATCCCCACCATCGTCTGCACACGCTGCCTGGCATAAGCCATCCGCTAATGTCGCAAAGTGCTCATCCAATCTGAAGCCCAGCCTCATCAACTTCCACTTGTCGTCCACAGATGCCTTTTTACCCGCTGCCAGGGTATATCCCACCGCTATCACTCTATCCTCCGGCGCCAAGGCATCTTCGGTAGCATGCCAAACTCTTGGATTGAACTTTAGCCCACTATCCACCTTCCGAGTCCTTCCCCATATCCATTTTCCCGGAAGCACCTCTTTCTCTATCCCGGCGGCCTTGCCACCCTCACTCGCACACTGTTCCTCTTCTGTCCAGATCATAGCTTCGCCCGCCCTCTCGCTTACCGGTACAACAAAGTTGTATGTCTGGCTCTCGTTAAACTTGTCCTTGTGAGGCCCCATCCTGGTTCCGACAGACACAATCACCGTTGTAAAAGTAGCTTCTGGGAAGCATTTTGCTATCAGCTCGCAGCACACCATGGCTATCCCCGGATATTCTTTGGCACTATTCGTAACGCCAATCTTTCCTCCGTACGCATACAGCCCCAGGACTATGAACCCTCTACCGGTGGCCATGCTCCGCGAATTCTTCGCTATTCCTTTTTCTATCGAAGTGAACTTCAGGATGATGTCCTTTGCATGCTGCACATCAAAGTCCTGCGTCATGACCATGTCGAGCGCACGTCTATCGATCTCTCTCAGCTCTTCCTCCCTTTGCGAGCGTTGTTCTTTAGTTTCCTTCGTTTCAGAGGGCAAGGCCATGCTCGAAACATCTTCATCAGCTCCGAGAATCTCAAGAGCGTCATTTTCAGGATCCCCCCGTTCGAGCAGGGCCGCGTCCTCTTTGCCAGCTTTTCTAGGCTTTTCGGCAATGGGGAGGTAGTTAACAAGTGCCCCGAAAGGAATCAGTTTCACTTTGTCTTGCTCGTTGCCATGTCTTTTCCCGTACGGGCTTACCCCGTCCACTTGTTGTACGTTCCTATGGAAGCAGAACGTCTGCACAGCGTACGGCCACCACTTCGGTTCTAGTCCTGCTTGTCTCAGCAATACTCTGCCACCGTAGATTACTTCTTTGACCTTGAGCTCCGCTATGCTATTCGTTCGGGGTAATCCGGGTGTAGAAGTCGCCCTGCAAGTTCCTATGACGTCGCAGGCTTTTGAGAATTCACCGGCTCCGTCTGCGTACAGATGCACTACCATATCTGGGCCTCGGAACTCATTGATAGCTCGCACAAACTCATCCGTTCCCCTGGACTTTACGGGCGTGCAGTGTATCCACTGTGTCTTGAAGTCGAACATCACGATTGCATTGTTTTCTCCGCGGATTCCCTTGTCTTTGTTGCTGCGAAGAACTATCGTGTCAGCAGTGACCCTCTCCCCGAACTTCTCGGCGCCCTTGTCTGTGATGCCTTCGCCCCTGTTGAAAGGGACGTTTATTGCTTTGCCTTGTCGACAAGCAACGCAGTGCATGTTCTTTGGGAGATGCGTGAGCAAATGTTCCGTCGATTTTGCATACTCCGGTGAGTATCTTGCTCTCCGGATGCTCACAGTTTTGCTCGACCCTATCCCTTCGCCAATTCTATCCGCAACTCGAACCTGATCCGCAGGTCCGTCTTCTGCCTTTGCTTGTTCCACTTCTCCCACGTCACCGGCGCTATCATCCTTCTGAGGCTCTCCCACTCCTCTTCTAGCCTGTTCTTCATCGGCTATTCCTGGCAAATCTATATCATCATCCAATTCGCCTCCGTTTTCGGCGCTTTCTTCCTCGCCGGGTACAGCGACGACTTGCTCCGCGATCCTTAGGTCGTCATCCGGACTCTTCTTCATTCCGTGGATGAGCTGAAACTCCGCATCCGTCATATTGCGTGCGCTTTGCCCCGCCTCAATCTGCTCAGGACTCAAAGCTCTTTCACAAAAACCGCATACCCCGGATGAATCGGCCTTACACGCGGCGCAGTAGAACGTCGTTCTCAGTCGACCGTCACCATCGTCTTGTTCTGCCGTTGTCTCCCTATTCCTCTCGTCTATCCCCTTTTCGACCACTGATGAAATTCGGTGGTGCTTACGCATAGTCTCCTTGATAGCTCGCACTAATCCCGGTGCCCACTCCGACCAGTTTTGTGACTCGTTCATCTCGCCCTTGCTTCTATCATCGCCATCGTTCGTCGCTCCGGTCCCTGGTCCTCTAAGATTGACCGCCCATCCTATCAACTCTGCGTCAGTCGCTATTGTGGTCGGCTTTCTCCTAGGGTGTCCCATCGGTCCCTGATCGAAACTAAATAACTTAGTCCCTAGAATGGCACTCGTCCTATCCCATTCTTCAGTCGCCCACAATGACGCGTATCCTCCATCTGGCGTCTCATCCCAATATGTTTCGGGGTCCTGGGGTTGCTCAATGAGGCACATTGTTGGGGCTCTCAGTCGTCGGTGACGTGCCTTTCCTATCACCACAAGCATGCACACGCGCAGTATGATGATGTCGTCGTCACGACACTCCTGCTTCTGTGCCCAACTGATAAATGAGTATCCCCACCGCTCTGGTCCATTTCTCGATCTAAGTGGGATCGGACCCGGCCTTCTGTGTCTCATCACGGATCTTGTTCTGCAAGGCGGTCCAGCTAGCCAACAAAACACCAAATTAGTCGTAGCCAGCTTCACTAGCCACCACCATGTATCAGATTGCAGCACGTTCTCCTCCATGTCGATGTCTATCACACTCATCCCTAACTCAGTTGCTATGTCATCAAACTTCCCCCTTGATTTCCCGCAACAGATGTGCACTATGACGCGTTTGCTACCTTCAATTGCATGTTTGATTTTCAAGATTTCTGGCCTCGTGTCCCCTAGAGGTTTCTGAGCCATCCCACCGTCCAAGATTTCTTGAGGAGCACACGGCCACAGATACTTGGCTATCCGGACTAGCGTTTCGGCCTCGCCGCTGGTACCAATGGTCTTGTCCAGCATCATCAGCAGGTCATTTAACCCCGTGGTTTCATCCGTGGCTATCCTGTCTAAAATGTGCTTTCTCACCTTCACGCTATCGCTCTGTGCCGCTTCCCCGGCATCCGCTCCTTCATAAGTTAGTCCTTCTATCTTGAACATGGTTTTGCCGGTCCACAATTCCTCCTCCGCTTCTCTATTCTCTCCCTCACTGTACTTATCCACCCAGTCTATCCATTCCGCCACGGTTTGGCCATCTTTGTACACACGTTTGGATCTACATCTCTCGGCGAATCGCGGCACAAGTGCATGTATCTCTGGGAATCTCAGTGTTTCAAACCATGGATCGCAAGCCTTCGTTCTTGGTTTGTTGTGGAAACACACCGCCTTATTACCCGTTAACATCCACTTGTCTAGTAGCCTCCCGTCGTCGTTGGCGGCCTTTCCTATCGGTTCCTCCTCGATGTCTCTATCCGTGTCCGAGTCCACGCTTTTGGGACTACATTCATCCTGTTTCTCTCCGATCCTCCTCGGACTGGAATTTCCTCGCACGGGCAATTCAATCGCAAGAGGCGCTGGCATAGCAGGATAGATGTGATAGTCACTCCGCTCACTTTCACTAACGACCGTTGACATTCTATCCACCATGTATGGGATATCCCCGATGACTTTTAGTACTATCAAGCTCGAATCAGGCTTGACGAACACGGGGTTCGCGCCCGCCAGCCAATGGAACGAATATCCCATTTTCATACATCTCCTCCCCATCGATAGAACAGCGGGAGTACTCTCGAGCATTCTAATCCTCATCGTCTCAGGCATCCCTTGAATATCCATGCATATTTCTTGCTTTGACGTGGTGTTGCCGTTGGCGGTGTTGAACCGCACTTTCTTCGCCTCAATAGCCATATCTTTTTCATCCTGGGTGAGGTCTGCTTCTGCTATCAGATCCATAGCGCACCCCGAGTCTATCATCCATCGTCTCATTACCGATGGCAAACAATGCTGTGCAGACGCCGCCGGTTGACTATCCTCTCGACTATCCACGCGGAATCTCTCGTCGACTATACCTATTCTCCTGCATTCCTCCACTATCCTATCAGCCAGTCTTGAAGCATCCTTACCTTCCTCGCCTTGCTCTCCGGCAAGTATGTCCAGCACGACCTCTTCGGCTAGGGATATTCCTCGTAGCCTTGCCTTTGCCTCCTCAATCACGGGATATCGTTTCACATCATGTACATACCCCTTCTTGTGTACGTTTTTGCACTTTCGTACCATCTTGTCAGCTGTGTGTCCTTTCCAATAGCATATATCCAGTCCTGCTATCCCCGTCTCTTCGGAGCCCAACCCCTTGACTCGCCTATTACCCTTCTTCACTCGCTCCCTGCCTGTCGTTGTCACTAGTATTCCCCTATGCGTGCTTTCGGCGCCATCGTCTCTTTGTCGTACCACAGGCATGGCCGCATACACCTGACTATCCTCGCTGGCCTGTGGGTTTCGGCCCGCCCCTAGCGAAAACTTGGCCCTTCACCATCAGCATGTGGACTCGATGGCCTTGTCTCCTTCTGCTCTATCTCTACTGTCTCAAAAGCCTCCCTAATGCTATTCGGGATAGCCTCGTGGAGCATTTTACACTTGTCATTTCTGCAGCTGCCGTACCGAAAATGCTCAAAGCAGTATCCCGCCTTCTTGAGGACCTCTTCCGCCTGACTATACAGATAAATGTCGTGCGAATGTTTGCAGTCCGCCGCAGTCATTGGGCAAGTTCCACGCGTATAGGGGTAGCAGACCCCTCTTTTTCCAAACGGCGACTTGGATCCATATCTATTCTTCGGGTCATCGGCTCTCCCCGCCTGCGAAAGTCCGTCCCTTCCTCTTCCCACAGATATCCCTCTTCCGTAGCTATTTCCCCCTGCGGGCGATGAACTCCTCGGTCTATCATCAGCGTACGCGCTTCTTCTATTCACCGGTGCTCTATAGGATCCCTGCTGAGCCGGCATCGCAGCATATCCAGTCGTGAACGCCTGTCGGCTCACCCGCATTGAGGCCTCATCTATGTTCTTGTCCGCTCTCCACATCTCCAGTCTATCCTTGATTCTCTTTCGCAACCAGGTATGCGTCTTGGACTCATCCGGAAGCAATCTCCATGCCTCAATATCGTGGTTCAGAACCTGAACTCTCTGCACTTTCGAATGCAACATCCATCCCAGCTGTTGCTCGCTCCAGGTATTGCCTTTCAGCCCTATAAGGTTCGTGTGTGCCAGATCCCATCTAGTCATGAACTCCTCCAGTGCCTCTTCTTCGGGCTTCCCCGGGAAATTCATCACCTTCGTGCTACTCAGGCCATCGTACAGTACCTGACTCTCTTTAGCAATCGGGATCTCAACATGCTTTACTATCAGCGTAAGCAATCTCATGGCCGTCATCGGTTTTCCATCTCCCACTTGCTGAGTCTTGTACATCTCCATCTTCACCTTCGCCGACAAGGACTCTGACTTTATTGCTCTCTTCAATCCGCTAAAAAGCTGGTTCTCTAACGCAGGATACTTGAGTTCCATGTCTATCATCGCTTCGCTCCTTTCGCGCACCCTCAATACCTGCGTGTATGCATAGTCCCCGTCATACAGATACGCAGCCTTCGCAGTGTGTGCAACATCGCCCAGCCACAGTCCTACTTCCCCGGATGATGGCTCCTTCGCTATCGATATCTCGTTGCATTTCTCCATCCCTCTGGTGTCCTTGAACTTGTTATACCCCCCGCCTACCGGATTTCTGAACCTGGCATCGTCCCCCTCATGATCGCGTCCACTCTGCGGCCTCGGAAGTCCTGTCCCCGCATATCCTCCGGCATCGCACCCCCTTCTATCAGTGGAGCACAGCATGCACAAGTCATCATGGTATTCATAGCAATTACCACACACTTCTCTTCCGCAGCCTTGGCACGCAATCATCATTTCCGCTTGTCTAACACAAACGGGGCACCTTCTAATCCTAGTCTCTTCCCCCAACAAACCTCCATCTCCTTGTCTATCCTTTCTTCCATGCTCCCTTCTATCCCCAAAGGAACTCGGCGCAGGCGTGGCACCGACACTTGGTCTTGCGGAGCCGGCGTTCGAAGCACCTCCCACACCCGGCGCTGGCATGGCGTACTCGGAGCTTTGCTTGCCGATCTCACCGATTCTATGCCACATGCTATCCAGTTCTGCTTTAAGGCTATCGTTTCGTCTCACCTGCTCCAGTCTCCGTTCATACTCCCGTACCGTTGCCTCCAACTGCTCGTTCTTCTCCTTGAGTTCTAGCATCTCTCTACCTCGGAGATCAAGATCCGCTCTCATTTTAGATATCTCATCTCTGCTGTCCCGAACCATCCGCGCTACCGACTCTGTCACCCCCTTGTTCTCCCCCTTCATGCTTTCTATTTCGCTGATCAGGCTAGCGTTCTCCTTCACGATCCGCTCATTCACCGTGGTTAATCCCTGCAATTGACCAGTGATCTTGGCTACCTGTTGTTCTAACACAATGCATCTGTTCTCGATCCTCCGATCAACTACGGGACCCGTCATCTCCGGCCTCGAAGCCTCCATTCCTCGGGCGTTGTCGCTCCTGGCTCTTCCATCGGCTCCCCGACTTCCGCCGGGACCATCTCGCCCGCGTGACATCGTCGGTGGCTTTCCTATCTCCGCGCTGTTTCCTCGCGTTTTGCCTATCCCTTCGTTCCGTGTGCTCTCATCAATTCGAGCATTGACAAGGATAAATTCGCCCGTGACCCTCTTCTGCTCATCTATCATACGGCTCGACATTGACTCCATAGTCTTTTCCATCTTTCGCACAGTATCTTTCACCCAGGCCTGTTCTCCGTTTCTCTTTTCATCAACCCGCTCGGTCCTTGCCACGACATTCTCGCAAGTCTTGTGAACCTTTGTCATGCCCGCCACAATCTCGGCCACGCTCTTGCGGTTCTTTATCACCTCTCTCGCGACGGTCATTATGTGTTCCTTCTGTGCCAAAACCACTTCACTCAGCTTCTTGGTCTCTACACGCACTGCTCCATCTATGCACAAGCCGTGACCCTCGCCAGGCTCTCTGCACCCGCATCCAGGACTTTTTCCTTGACTATTACAATGGGACGACGACGCTGTATCTATTCCGGCCTTCTGGCTCCCCTTGGACTTCAACTTCCTTAGTTCCTCGCCCGCTAACTTGATCTGGTCCCATTGTCTATTCAAAACTGTCTCCACTTTATCGAGCCTCTCATTCTTCCATGTTCCATTCTCATGTCGCATTTGCATGCTCGAGAAGACCACTCCTATGCCACGTTTTACCTCATTCAATCCTGTCTCTAACGTGGCGATCTTCGTCCCGGCACTCTGTTTGGCTATGTCCGCTGAATGCTCCGCTGTGGACAATCGCTCCTCCACTCCCTTCAATCTAGTCGTAACAGAGGTCTTGAGCACCTTCACGTTTTCAACCTGCCGTCTCATTCTCCGTGCGAGCTGTATTGCTCCCTCGGTCAGTTGCGGAGCCATTGCATCATCCATCCTATCCTCGCTGACGCTCCCGTCCATGATCCGACTCATCTCTTTCAGCTCCTGCGACAGTGTTGTCTTGGTATCTATCTGCTGCGATTCTATCCAACCTTTCCAGTGCTTCACCTCCTCCTCGCATTCCACCAATCTCTTGCTCACGACGTCCGCCTTTTCCGCTGAACTATTAGCAATTGCACTTGCACATTCACTTGCCACTTTAAGCTTGGCTACGTCGGTCTGCGTGTCCACAACCACCGTCTGTGAATCATCTATCCTGCCGTCTATCTCTCCTAACGAAGACTTGTCCGGATCGGCAGGAGTTCTCACCTTTGCCCGCCTAGGTGGGGATGATGTTGCCCTCATCTCATCGTTCCTGCCTCGTCCTTCAGGAGGAGTATTGATCCCGAAGTGCTCGTATTGCCCACCTATCCCAGGGGATCGTGGAGCCGGGGATCGATTGCCCCATCCCTCGCTACCCTGATCCGGGGTGATCATTCCTGCCTGATGGATCGGTCCCCCAATTTCTGTCGATTTCGACTTCTTGGCTGCGGGGACGCTCTCGGCTATCTGGTTCATCTCCTTAACGGCCTGCTCCGCTCGTTGCTTACGCAGTCCCTCATCCACCTTGCCTATCTTGCCGGTGGTACCAACTCCATTTTCCGATCCACCCGGGCTATCCCTCTTCAATGATGTAGATCGACCACCTGAGTGTCCACTATCCGACCCCATCGACATCTTTCGTGACCTGTCTTTCTCTAGCCCTGTGACCTTGGCACCATATATCCCAGCGTTCCATCGCTCCTGTGATTCCGAGTGCATCGTCATGGGCGTTGAGCCTGGGTTACCCGGTGCCTGATCCGTGAAGAACTTCACGAAGTCTGCATCTGTGATGACCCCCGTTTCTTCGAGAGCACTCCGGATCCCATGGGATCCCCACTCTATTCCGATCGTCGAAGTTTGACCCATCCCCACATCTTTCAACGCTTCAACATTCCCGCCTGGCGATGCCTCCGACAGCCCTGTTGACGAAAACACAGACAGCGCTCTATCATCGCTCTCACTGATCATGTTCTGTGCTACCGCTGAAGATCCCTTGGCTATCAACTCCAGATCTGTAGGATCGATACCGACATTCCCAATCATGGCCGCACTATTCGAATACACTCCGGGAACGATGTCGTCTCCATTCTTTCTGCCCATCCAGTGTCCGCTATCCGCACTTCTCATGCGATCGCCTTCAGCACCAAGCTCACCACTATTCATCATTGCATCTATCCCATCATCATTTCTCCTGATCGTCCTATCGTGATCTGACGATGATGACACTGCAAGGCTATCCACTCTATCCTCTATTGCGATTTCTATCCTGGATCCGGTGGTTCCCTTGGTATCTCCCGTCGTCTCTTGATCCGTCCCGTGGAGCACAGTCTCGGAGGGGTTGGCGAACGGCCCCTCTTCCATCCTTTCACCTAATCCAGCCAGATCCTCGATAGCAAGCGTCGGAGTCCTAGCATTTCCTGCCTCTATCCCACCTCTTCCGGCCCTATACTCACTTAAATCTGTAGCTCCCATGACTGGATCGAATACTACAGGACTGCTTGCAAGCATGCTGAGCTGCATCACTGCATCCCCTCTATCTGCGATTGACGGGACTGCGAGCAACTCCCGCAATTCTTCGCCTGCGTCCCTCCCCTGAGTGCCTGACGTGTCCGCTATCCCGGCATAGCCCAGCCCTCCCGACCTCCCCACACTATCCAGCGTCGCCACGATCTCCAAGCTTCTATCCGGCAGTCCTGGCGGTGGCCCTGGCACTAACATACTATCCGCAGCGCTCGACCTAACGTCTACAGTAAGCGGTCCTGACAAGCTGAGGCCGAAACGATCTCTATCAGCATTGCTATCCGTCTCCATTCCTGTCCTTCCACTATTCCGTCCGTCGTCGATGAAGTCCATGTTCTCGACGTCGGCTATACTTCGCACGTGACTATCAGCGGCGGCCACATTCTGATTGACCGCATTGACCTGGTCCTCGAGGAATCTATTCCCTGTTCCTAACACATCACTATCGCTAGACTCACTGCTCCCAATGCTATCACGTGTGGACATTGCTGCAGTCAATGAACACAAATGACAAATGCGGAAAACTTCGCTATGCAAGTGGTACCTCTTCGCTATACCAAGAAAAACTTCTCGAACAGCTCGTCCAGGCCAAGCAACAAGGCTCTTAACCTGTATAACTTGAAGTTGGTCATGCAAACCGACCTTTGCCTCATAACACTGAGACCGATGCAACTGCTGACGCTGGTATCGTATGAGCTTTCGGAATTGCCAGCGACTCATGTCAGAAGCCATCTTTTGTCTCCAGGTGCGCTTCATTGGCTTCGGGTGCCTAGGGCTCTGCGGCTCTATTGCCACATCTGTGGCCTTGAGCCCTCACACCAGCAAGAGAGCAGAATCATTCGACCCGAAAGAAGGGTCAACCGCGCAATACTCCACTGCCTCTTGCCGTAGACGTGGAGATCCACAGATATGAAGATAACAAGAATAACAAGAACAGGAACAAGCAGGATCAGGAGACCACCCCACGAAGTCCTCAAAGGTCGGCGGAGTTGCCCCGCTCTCCTGCGCTCTGGTGCACTGAGTTCTTCAGCTGACGGGGTAGGCCATGGAGACATGAAACCCTTTTCAACTACAACTTTACAGCAGCCTCGAAGCGGCCCCCGACCCCCCGACCCCCCGACCCGCCCCCCCCGACTCCCCCCGCGACCCGCCCACCGACCCTCCCCCCGCCGACCCCTCCCCCAACTTCACCTTTCTGCACTCCTGTGCGGGAGTGCTGCGGCACAGAAGCCTCAGAAAGCTGCGCTTCAACTGGCGGTGCGCAAATTCAGGGCTTCAGGACAATTGGTGTGGAGCGGTGGGAGATCCAAAATGTCCCCCAACTTCAGCGCCAGGGCACTTCTGCGAGGCCATGAAGAACGGCCTGGCCGAGCTTCCCTAAGAAGGGGACGCACCTGATGCTTGCAGAAACCTTCCCGGAAGTCACCTGAAGCACCCCGTACGTAAACGTTCAGGAGTCCAACCCCCCGGCAGGAATGATCCACAGAAACCGAGGCCTACATTGGGCCTACATGCCCGCAGGAAACTCCTCTTTGAGCAACATCCTTGTGCTCATCCTGCCCCAAACCCTCCAAAAGCATCGCTGGTCCGACGTCGCTTTGTGGGGCTCCGAGAAGGTAGGCTCCTGCAAAACCGAAATTGCTCAAGGTGCGGTGTCTTTTGGATCCTTTGGGTCCTTTGGGTCCCTTGGACTTTGCCATGGGCATTGGGGTGCCCCGTTGCGCAGTCCCAGCACACAAAGCCCTGAACTTCCTGGCCCGTTTGCGACTCTTACGTCTGAAGGCTGAAGCCAAAGCTGGCAAAATCCAGATGCCCAAGAGACCTTGAACCTAAACCCTATAACCCTATAACCCTAAACCCTAAACCCCCTTCATCTCGGCACCTCAATGTCGAGCTTCACCTTCTCGCGAAACGCACGCTGCCGGGCAGCAGAGCGCATCTCATCCTTGCCTCAAGGACTCAAGGGGTCTCGGAGACGATCAGAGAAAAGAAGTAAAGTTAAAAAGGGTTTAGGGTTTAGGGTTGGGGTTTAGGGTTAAGGGTTTACGGAACCAAAGAGACACTACTCGAGCTTTTGGACTCTCTCCTTGGGAAAGCGACACAACACGCTGCCAAAGCGGGAGAAAACGCAAGCCAGTTGCACAAGCGATGCTGTTCTCCAGCTGTTCAGCATGGAGCTTGGGATGCTAGGGATGCTCATGTGATGCTTTGCACCCTGAATGTCCCAAGGTAGCCTATATTGAAGGCGGCACAAACTCCCAGGACATGGGGCACTTCCACATCCTATCATAGAAAAACACACGAACATGTCTTCAGGCAATCATAACACACATGTCGCGAGTCTGCTCGGGCTTGGAGTCCTCCTGAAACCCTGCAGCGCTTCACGATTCAAGCGGGTGCAAGCCTTGAGGCTTTAAGGGCTTAGGGCTTACAGGATTTGAGGAGGCTGCGATTTCAAGGGAAGGAGGGGCCTGGCACAGACAAGCTTCAGAACACCGGGTTTATGGACGCCGAGACGCTGTGCGCAAAGCTGCACTTGGCACCATAAGGACACCTGAGGGGGGGTGGAGCGAGCCACGCTTTGGGTGCTCATCACGGCTTGGTTTAAGCTGTGCAGCAGGGGCCAAACTTGCACATCTTTTCAAGCCCTAGGCTTTCAACGAGGGTATGGGGAGAGGTGAACCAAAAGCCCTCAACTCCCCAGAACCGTAAGCCCTGCTCGGATAGCCGCTCTTTGCTAAGATCCCCCCAACCCCAACTATTTGGCAAAGAGGCGTTTTGGTCTTGAAGAAAGTGGTGCACAGACGGGTCTTCGAGAAGTCAGGCTTTTCCTTCAAGAGGGCCAAGCTCGGCGAAACCGGTAGCGTACAATGCTTGTGAAAGCTTAACAAGGGCTCCAGGCGAGTTGCGTCGGGAAGCAACCTCCCTTCCTTATGACAAATTCACCCAAGACGGTTCTATGGGTGGTTTTCAGTTCGGGCAAACGTCGCCCAAGAAGAGACGTGTTCACATGTCCTTCCTACGGACCTGTCATCCGCTGCTTCACCGCTGTCATGACAGCTTCCCCCGTGTCTCCTTTGACCTGCTACACAATGCTCAGCACGCTGCGCAAGAATAGACTTGAATACCTAAACCCTAAACTTCCCTAAGCCCTAAACCCTAAAACTTTCTTCCGCCGTCCTTGAGGTCATTCACACTGTGGGCGAAGTTGCACTTCGTCCCATGGCGGCAGATGCCTGGCCATCACGCTCACTAAGACATGTGGAAGTTGGGTTTCGGGCTGTTTAAGGTTTAGGGCTTCGGGTTGCGGAGTTCTGTCAGTCAGCGTAGCCTTTGAAGAACCCGGAATATGTGGGTCCAAGCCTCAACCACCTCATGAAGCCCCTGTCATGCACGTCTAGGGAGTCTGGTGGAAGCCCTGACACCCCAACAGTTCAACCACCACATGAACCACCTTGGAGCTCCCGGCCCTGCATACGGGCCTTGCAAGTAGAAGCTGCAAAGCGTGGTGCCGCGGTAGTGGGGATTTCCTGGTGCCTTCTCGACGGCCTTGTGTTGGAGCATCCGTGCTTGGGGGCTTCGCTTGTGATGATTCCCATGAGTTCGGGGGGTGGGCCCTCACACAAACAGCGCAACTCCGGTCTCGCAAGAAACCGGGCTTCTCTCGTGGCCTGCGCGGGGGACCCAAAAACTGCCCACTAAGCATATAAAAGGGAACTACGGGACCTGGCAGAAGATGACTCAGGTCTTCTACGCCAATCTTGACGTGCCGAAGTCGAGCTACGCTGGGACCCTTTAGGATCCGGGCCAGCTTCGTCATTGCGATGTGCGCGAGGGTGCTGGGAGGTTAACAGGTCAGTTGCGAACGGCTTCAAATCACCAGAAGAATGTACGAGAGATATATCAGATGCCTGATATGCCGCATCCTCAGAAAGCAGAGCAAAGGCTTCGCAACTGCCCAGATCAACCTCTCAGCATTCAAAATCCGTGGTTCTCTACTGAGCCAGGACTTGCAACAGTTGAGCCGGCGTGCCATGTTTACGTCGACCTTGCTGCAAAAATGCTGCAACCAAACACATCTCACAAAAAGCAGGACAATGTTCAGCCACTGAGCTAGCCCGCCGATGTTGCGTTTTGTAGACTGGCAGATGCAAAGGTTGATGCTTCCAGGTGGAGCTCATTGTTTCGAGAAGAGGAAAGTTGGGGAAATGGAGCATCTCGGATGTCCCCCTGCTGCTTTTTGAGGCCGATCAATGCTCCGCCGGTGCCGGCGCTGAACCTGTGCCGGCTGGGGCAGGGCGGGGATCCTCAGGAATCTTTCGGGGCTGTGAGGATTAGAAGTCAGTGTGTCGGTTAAAAAACGGGGGCAGCACTGGAGCGTAGAAGATGTCGACGATCAACCCTGCAGTGCAAGAACCACTAAGCCCGAAAGCCAAAAAGTGAAAGTGCCAAACATCCTCCACATTCAGCACCCTCAATGTTGCAGCAGATGGTGTTCAGGTGCGGCTCGCCCTCTTGATGTTAAAGGTGCGGCTCGGGTGCGTGTGCTCAATATTTGCTTCTTTGGGGTCCAAATCGCACGTCGCCTCAGGTTATCCTCTACGGTTAACCTAAAAAACTATGCCTGGGTGTGCTCATGCACGACACATAGCATAGCTGTCATTGGAGAAGAAGCGAAAGCGGCCGTGTTTGACGTGAAATAGGTGCTGGCACGCTGTAAATGTTTCATGCCTCATGCTTGTCAGCGTTGCATTTGCTGAGGCTTGATAGATACATACTTCAAACTCCCAGCTGCTGCTCTACAGAGTCTTGAGAATACCACCTACATCTATGGGGGGGGGACGAGGCAAAACTGTTTCAGCCCATCAACTATAGCTATCTGTACCAGGACCCGGGAGCAACTCCGCAAGCACAAGCACACACACACACACAACAAAAAAAAGAAACGCAAGCCCACCTCAGCAACCCTGTGGAGCACAGCTTGGGTGCCCAAAGCATTGGTGCGTTCGAGCAGCCTGGGGCTTCTCATTTGAGAGGAAGCTGGAAGTTGCTTTTCATCTTGCCCTGTGTCGAGTGGGCCTAGGAGTCCTTTATGCAGTTAAGGGGGCAGACGTACTTGGAGCATCCATGTGTCCTCTTCCTGCTTTCACGAAAAGCCACGAAGGCCAATTCGACCCCCGAACTGCCCCCGCCTGGGAAGGAAGGCCAGTTGCTCCTGTGACCTGGAGGGCAATCTGACAATCTGACCCGGTCTTGCATTCCCTGGAGGGTTTTCAGACTGGTCCCTCTCTGGTCCCCGAAAACTAGTCGGTGCTATGTTCCCAGAGCCCAGGAGACCACAATTTGGAGAACGATCTAGCCCAAATGGGTTGGAAGCCCCGCACCCCCGTAGGTCAGTCTCAGCCTTCGCATCGCATGATTGACATAACGTTCTGGAGCGTGACTTCTGGCACACCGAAGCCTTGAGCCTTGAGCCGAAGAAACATCCCAAGCCTCTGGTGCTACCGCAAGCTGAGCGGCTCGAGGACTGCGGCTACAGGCTCCAGGCTCACCGTGCTCGGGGCCAATGCCGCTTCCTCCTGCGAGCACGCTCACGCAGTCGCAAGAGTACGGAGCCAAGATTCCAGAATTCAAGCTTGTTCCAGCGATTTTGAAGAAGGTCGGAGGTGAGCTACGCAATTCGCGCCAGACACGATCCTTTCAGATCGCTTTCAGCGATCATGCCGAGTCGGAGCCCAACATGAACCGAACCCAACGCGGCCCCTGAGATTCGGATTAGGAGTGATTGGGATGTCCAGGCTCGCCAGCAGCGCCAGAGCCAGCTCCCATGCGCCGGTGCCACCGCACAGTGCCAGAGCCGAATTGTAGTGGATCACCTTCGCTCAGGAAGTGAAACCATAGTTAAACCCCTCACAAAGCAGCACACCAGCCACAGACCCCTCAAAAAACATCCTCAAACATCTCCCAATGGGGACGAGGCGGCGCCAGGCCGCGGCAGCCATCCCCCTGACCGTGCGAGCTGCAGCAGGCCCAGAGCAGCTGGCAGGCGACGGGCCTTCTCGCATGCCTGGGGATGAATCCTCAAGCAGCAAGCACTCCTCAAAACACCAACCTGCAGGTTCAACCATGTTCAACCTGTCTGCACACGCTCGAAGAAACGCAAACTCCCCTGCACCCCACAGGGCAGGAGACACTCATCAGCGCAGAGCACGTCGTCTCAGTAGCCTCCAGGGACCAGCACCTGCAGCGGGGATCGCACGTTGCCGAGCTCATGCTGCCTCAGCAGCCTGAAGTTTTGGCCTCTGGGGTTTGAGCCTCCAGGAGGCCTCTCAGCTCCAACAGCTTCCGTGCAAGATCAGATGGGCCCCGAATCTCCCAGACATTCCCAGACGCAGCCGGGGCCTGAGGTCATCGAAGAGCGCCAGGCCCCGAGCCCAGCGCGCGGCCTTGCCGGCGCTCTTTTTTGGTTTTTCTCGGCTCTTCTGCACCCTGCGCCTTCAACGTTGTATTTGTATGAGAACTATCAAAGTACGAGAACCTCCTGGAGCGTGCCAGCCTTCTCAAGGGCGCTCAGCCCCGCGTTGACAGTGAAGATGTAAGGCTGCAACCCGCACTGATGCATATACCGCACCTGGAGGGAGTGGCTGAAAGTAGGCTTAGGGGCACGAACAAAGGGTGTCAGGGCTTTCAGGGGCTATGTCTTCTAACAACTTCTGGAGCCCCTGAACCCAACCACAGCCCCGTGTCCCTGAGCTCAGCAACAGAATCTTACCCGCCCCTAGCTGCCCCAACCCGCCGGGCGCGCCAGGTCCAACGCCTGACGCCAGCGCTTGGCTTTCTCGCAGGCCGAGGTCTCGGCAAAGGCGTTTGCTTCTGTGGCTTTCGCGGGGACTTAAGGGGCCCCCTTCTGTTCGAAGGTGAAGCTGAAATTTGGTTTCAATGGCGAAGTTTGGGAAACTCTTTCATTTACAGTCTGTGACCTGTTTTCTCGAGTGCCCTTCTTCAATGAGATGTGAAAGGTTGCCCTCTCTTGCAATCATGTCCACTGAGGACCATAAAGCCGCCCCAAGACATGAAGTTGGGAAAGCTCCATGACGTCAAGACTATTGAACGACCCCTTGAAAGCTGTCCAGGTGTCTGCTGAAGCGAAGCCAATCTCCTGGCCGTCGGGATCTCGGAATCAGGCCTCTTTTACCTTGAACCCTGAATCGTAAAACGTGAAACCCTACGTGTGCTACGTCTTGGAACCAGCATCATGCACGGCTTGTTATTTCACATCTCAAAAATCACAAAACTCCGTCACAACTCCTCCCAAGCCACAGAAGCCATCCTCAAGCCCCGAACCCACATCTCCCCAACACATCAAAGCATATCAACACCCAACAAGGCCCCCATCTCCTGCTGGCTTACACGCCAGGGGCGGAATGCCTGTCACGCTGCATGGAGGCGGCTTCACAAGAGGTACACAGCTGGGAGTCCCTTGAGTACCAAGGACAGGGGCATCGCTCCTTGAGCCGATTGTGTTTCTTGGGGGGGGGGGGGGGGGGGGGCGACGTCCCCTCGCCTGCAGAAGCAACATGCCCTCCTCCCAGCGGCGATCCTCGCGCAGGGAGACTCACGGGGCTCTCCTTTGGAAGTTGAGACTTCCCGGCACCACTTGACTCGCCTGGCCAGATCCTGGAGTCCTCTGGTCCTCTGGACTTCTCGAACCACTGCAAGATGTTGCAAGTGCAAGCGCTGTCCTTCTCACAGGCACTGACAAGGCTTCCTCGCAGGACAACGTTCTGGGCTCCGCCCAAAGCCTGAGAATTGGTGGGTTGTTGGATTGAAATATCGAGTGCCAAGGGGTAACGGGAGTTGCAGTCTACAGTTCGTACATTTGCTACGCAGTCCCCTTCTGGCAAACTGGACCGGACCTCCAGCTCCAGCGCGAGCTGGAACGCCACCTGAACAGCATCTTACTTCCCGTGCAAGATGAAGTTCTTGACTGCATGGCGATACCCCAAAAGATCTACCCTCTTCCACCTCCCAGCGTCGCCGCTTCTCGCAAGCAGAGGTGGCGGCTGCGTAGGACACCACACCGGGCTCCTGCAAACCAACGTCCCAACATGTTCCCCACAGCCAACCACGTGTGACCCCCAAAAGGAATGTATGATACAAGCAACAGCCCATATTCCGTCATGCTCCCCTCAAACCCCTTGCAATCCTCCGCCGAGCGGTGAAGCGCGTCCAAGACTGCGAGGGCCCGCACCCACTCGTAGCCCTTCTCGCAGGCACTCACCGCCTCGGGTGGGTGCTTTTGATGGCGCTGTTGGGCCTTGGGGGATGGGGTGTCTCCAGCACATGCCGCTCTCCTGAAAAAGCCTCCAGGGTGCTGCGTTGTGCCCGACGACACTGGTCTCCATCGCCTCGGAGCCCATGCCTCCGAGCTCGGGCTACATGAGGGGCGCGGAGGGGTTTAGGCCCTTTGTGGTGCGAGCTTCTTTTGGTTACATAACGAATTCTTGAGGCCCAGGTACTCCGATGAAGCCCCGAGGCTGCCAAGGCCACAGCAACAACTGTTTTACTTCGAACATCCCCACCCTCTTTCGGTAGAGATACTCTGGGGCTGGGCACTCTGGGGTTGGGCACTCCAGGCAGACTCTGGGGTTGGGCACTTTGGGGTTGGGCACTCCAGGGATGAGCGAGGAGCAGACCGGGCGAGGAGAAGAGTTCCGGGCGAGGAGAAGAGTTGAGCTTTAAATCTAACAACCCCACACCGGGGGTGGGGAAAAAAGAAAAAAGGAATGCTGAAAGGCAAGGTGCTCTGCAGCAGCGTCAACGCCGGTGCCCATTGAGAGCATTTCTCCTTTTCAGCAGGCTTTCCGTTTCTAGCTTTGGAGGATTTGGAGCCTTCGCTGAAAGTTGCTGACAGGAGGTCCGAGGTTTCGGCACCGGTGAGGACTTCAGGCCCTTTGAGGCAAATGACATCCGTGGCTCGGGGGGCCTGGCCGCCCTCCACTTGGGGCTTTGGGTGCTCAGACCGGGTCCGAAGTGTTGGCCGACAGCTGGGATCTGGAAATCAGTTGCTGAAACCGAAAGTTGAATGACCACAACCACAGTAAGTCCAGCAAGGCTTCTGTGGCACTGATGCAGGCGGCAACGCTGACGACGTCCGGCTGAAGCTTGACCTAACATGACTCAGAACTTAGAACCCGACAGGCCAGGACCCGGTGACATCCTGTCGCTGTCGAGCTCTGGGAGCCAAGAGTCAAAAGCACGACCGTTCGAAGCAGATGTACGCAGTTCTGCACTGGTCTCCACAGGAGCAGAAGTGTCTGAAAGTGTTCGGAAAAACTGCTCATCCCCAAACCCCCCCACCCAGACCCTCAACTTGAGCGGCCTCCTTCGCCTCGGTGAGGAGCCACAAAGCCAGCCGCCAGCGGCCGCCCTTCTCGCAGGCAGAGCAAGCGGCCTCGGGACCCCCTTTTAATAAAAAGAGAAAGGTGTGTTTGGGGTGCTTTTTGGGTCTGTAGTTAGAGTCTAGAGATGGTCCAGAGGTTATGGTTCGGTGGTGCCCAAGTTGTGTGGTCAGAGTTCGATGCCTTGGGATGATGCGAAGGCACCGGGCTCCAGAGTTCCACACTCTAAGCTCGGCAGCTTTCCCGCTCCCTCTTTGCGCACCTTTACACACTTTTCAACCCTCAGCTCCACACTGCTCCACAGACCCTACATTGCCCTACATGCTGAGAACTCTCTGGAGACCGAGATCCGGGCGTTGAAGCTCACCAGGTCCGGTTGCAGCCTTTCGCCGGAGTTCGCCGCCCGCCCCCTCTCCCGTCACACACACCTTCCACCCCTCCCAGCCCTCCAACCCTCTGGCGGTTCAGAGGGGTCAAGGTTCAGCGATCTTGCTGTGCATCGGGTCTGCTGGCAGTAGCGTCTCAAGGCATGCAGCTGCTGGACAACAAGGGCTTGAGGCTTGAACAGCATGCCCACATTGCGGCCAGCGTGCCATTCTTGACAGGCTTTCGGGCTCCATGACTTGTTGAGGCTGCATTCTGGGAGGTATCCAATGAAGAGTGGCCTGGTGCTCGACATTCGTGACATTCGGGCTTTCATCGGCTGAGGACTTGAGTGGAGAAGCAGCCCGTAAGCGTCCCCCTTTCCCCCACCCGCCCCCAGTTTTTCTCAGACCTCCAAGCCGCAGCAGTGTGCCGAAGAAGCCTCAGGGCCTCAGAAGAACTTGGGCAAGGCGTGCTGGCAATTTACACACGAGGGGATTAGGCGATCCTTGACTCTGGGTGCTTCCATGGGATTTAGCATCCAAATTCCCCAAAACTCTCGAAGAACCAGAACTCCTAGTTGTCAGCGCTTCTGAGCGTGCGGCCCCCTGCCAATGGCCGGCTTTCTCGAAACAGCTCACGCCACCTGTCTCTGTGCCCTCGCTTTTGGGAACCCGCATCCTTGCTTAGACCGGAAACTCGAACTTTGAAAGAAGGATGAGGCCAGCCCATGACTGGGGTTTCAACCTATGCCAGCTTGTCGAGTAGCTGTTAACCACGACAATGTCTTCTGGCCGCGCTCGCCAGCGCAGCTCCTGATGATCTTGAGACAACGGGCATGAGAAACATGGCAACATGTGACGGCCTTTTGACCGCTGGCAGAAATTGGCCAGCAAAACTGCAACATCACCTGGAACAGGACTCACAAGACACCGTGCAAAGGATCCGAATCGCTCAGCGTGCCGATGTTTCGATGGCCTTTGCACCTCCAACAAATTATCTCCCGCTCACAACCCTGGACGAATCCCTCGTAGCACTGGCAGTCCTCCAGCAGGTGAAGACCATCACCCCATCGAGCAGCGGCAGTGATGCCGATGAACACAGAGCTGTAGCTCTTAATGTCCACCTAGGGATTGGCGTCGTGCCTATGCGCCGTGTGGCTCTTCCGCGTCTCCTTTCTCGCTTTGTTACATACTTTGAACAAGCCATTCCCCATGCAGTCATGTCGCAGAGGCTCGTGTATTACTGCTCCTTCAGTCCCCAACTTAGATCTGTGAAGTTCACGAGGAAATGCGCCTCCAGCTTGTCGCGCCACAGGAAGCTCAGCAGCACCTCGTTTCGTATCCCGGGCTGCGCTTGTGTTCATCGGTTTGGGCTTTGGGGATGCAAGGATGGCTTCACGGCCTCACACGCACAGATTAACAGTAGACTTTGTTCACCATGTGACCTCTGGAGCATCTTGCGAGGCCAACAAGACTGCAAATGCTTTAAAGCCACAAGCATTCTTGATTCCAACCCTTCAGAATCCCTGAGAACTATGGCGCGTAGCGAACTTTAGCCCCGGAGCCCACCCGGTGCCACATGGAAACCCAAGAGTAACCTGCCCCACGTGCTTGGCGCTGGCACCAGGGAATGGCCCCAAACACCGCCACGGCTCACACCCGCCATGGCGGCGCTTCGTGCCACCTGGGCCCACTCTTGCGGTGGAGAGTTGAGAGCTTCGTGGGCATTGTTGGGCATTGTCAGGGCGCTTTGGAGGTGGCTCCAAAGCGGAGATCCGACTCTAGGGCCCTTGGGACCCCAATGCAAAAGGCAAAAGTCGAAGTCGCCCTGGCCTGGTCGGGCTGGAGCCCGCGGAAGGCCAGGTCATCCTGTAGGTGCTTGACCGGCTCTTAGCTTAGGGCCTAGGGCATCTTGGCCATTCCTGGCATTCGGGTTGTCCAACAAAATTCTTCCTTCAAGGATCCTCAAGGGGTACACGCGCGACAACTCGAGAGAAACTGAGACAAAGAAAGGCACAACTCTGGCCCGGGCCAGCAGGTAAAGGCCATCTGCCCATGCTGTCCGCCGGGCGTGGCCGGCAATCGCCGAGGCTCCTGCCGGGCTGGGCTTCGAAGGATTGACTAAGCTGAGTGCTGCATCCGACTAAGCTGAGTCAAGCCACACCAAACCCTCAGTTGACATGCACAAGAGGCTGCCAGAAGCCCTAGACATGGATGTACAGATCTTTCAGGTCACCATCGAGCTGCGAACTCCAAGTGTCCGAAGCCCACAGCCCGCTAAGTCCTCAAATGAGGGCTTTACTGGCTCTTGCCATGGGAGCTAAGCTCCTCCCCTTTTCCCGACTAAGAAGCAATGACAAACCTCAGCCCCCAAAGCACCAACAAGCACTGCTCCACGGCCATAGGGGCTCCTTCCACCAGCTCCCGGGGAACGCGTGGCTTGCGCAGCGGACGGCAGGGCCGCACCGCCAAAGCCTCGGCACCGGAATGATTAAATGCTTGGATGCGGACTTCGTGGCCTTCCGGGGCTTTGCTCACCGGGGTTGATATTCGTACAGGCGTTCGAAAGCCCAAAACGCCTCCAATAGAGATTCGGCTTGAGGTCCTGGCAGCTCGTGCCAGCAATTTTCAATCGGCTTTTAAGCAGGTAACTCTAAGACTTTACTGTTGGTACGCAGGTACAGACAGGTAGAGAGAGAAGGGGAGAGGCAAAGAGAGCCCGATTCATTCATCGATTTGCTGGAATTCCACAAGACACCTCGTGGCTCTCAAACAGGGTTGGTATGCGGACAGCTTCTGACAAAAGAGATTCTTCGTACACACACCAAAAAACTGCAGATAACTGCAGACATCCGAACCTTTCGGAGCTTCTGTTCAGGCGGAGGAGCTTGGCACTGCGGCCCAGACGCGGGGCCCCCGGACATCACCTGCACCAAGAAGCGTTTGCTGGGCCAAGGCTCGCAGCTCATCGACACTGAAACATAGGGGCCCACAAAACCACCTAGACAGAAGAATCGGTAAGGGCCCCTATAAGGGGGGGGATTCCAAAAAACCCTCTTTGTAGGATCCATATGTTTGTGTGGTTTTTTGGGCCCCTGAAACAATCCTACCCTGCAGGCCTGAGTTTGCCATTGTCAGCGGCACTGCTCCGCCAGGTGGCCAGTTCCCGGAGGCCACCGGACGAGACGGACAGTTCGGTGATCCAGGTGAAGGCGGATAGCTGCGGCTAAGGCGTTCAGGCTTATGGAGCTTAGGTTGCTTGAACGCGCAAGCGACAGGAGGTTGGGCGCCAGTGCTTCACATGTTGCTTCAGCAGCGCAACAAGTCGAAGCCAATGCAATAGGGAAGTGGTTCAGTTGAAATTCACGAGAAGAGAAAGGGGGGTGAAAGGGGCGGAGCATGCAAGTTCCTTCGAGCCAGCATGCAGCTCGGGGCTTTGAGCTTCGGATGTGTTTAGTGGACGTTCTTCTGGGAATGTTAAGCTGCGCAGAGGCCCCGAAAAGAATACGTGGTCCTAATTCACCAGTCCAACCCCTTCTGCTAACGACTTGCCCACGCGACTCTCATCCACTAGCTGCCTTCAAGAACCAGCCCGAGGCATCGAAGTTCTTGTGGTCGGGAATGCTCTTCTCCTTGCTTGGAAAGCTTTGCGAAGAGCCCGAAACCGTTCAACCCACCACACCAAAACCACTCAAACCCTTTATGGGGGTGTGGGCTTTGTTACATCCTGCCCGTGCCTAGGGCGCAAAAGGGCGTCACGAAGGAGATACAGGCACGAGGCACGAGGTCTGGGACAACGTATCAAAAACGTCCTAGCGCATGATGTAAAAAGCCCCAAGGGAGGCGGCTCAATGAAACAGCAGCTTCGACTTCTACACCTTGGGTTCCTCAAAGTACGTGACGACGGCATTGACCACGTTGATGACCACCGCCACGGCGAACTTGGCAGCAGTGGAGTACGCTAGGGGTGGACAAGCGATTGTTGGAAGGGAGGCTTCACATTCAACTTGATCCCGAAAACCTTGCGCTGCAGACGAGCGGGGTGGGGCCACGGGCGTCGGGCTTGCAAAATATAAGGATATTATCATATACTATCCTTTGCGTTTGGGGGGTTTGATGAACTGATTGAAGTGTCGTGTCCGGCGCCGTGAGGATGCAGGACACGAAGAGCGAACATGGCACAGGCCCCCCCACAAGCAGCGATGTTTCCCGGTTCGGAAATGGTCTCTGTGCTTTCTTCGGTTACCCCAGAAACTTGATTCTTTCGTGTATCTGTGCAGAGCGAAGACACTCCACACCCCCCGGCCCTACCTTCTTCACAACTGCAGGCGTCGCACATCTTCAACCAAAGCCGCCACAAAATGGGTTCCGCACGGAAGTTCTGAGCGTGCCCAAAGCCCAATCCTCAAGAACATGATGTTGAGGGCTCACGGTTCATTGCATAGCTTGGGATGTCTGGGTACTGGGGTTTGCTTGGTGGCAGTGGTTCCAATGATCGTGAACGACAACCGACAGCGATCGGGTTTGGGACGAGTTCAGGATCGGCCACGGTTCCTCTCTTCGCCCCATGGGGCCGAAGCCCATGTCTGCTGGGACCCGGGCCGGCAGGTCAAAGAGGGCGAACTCCACATCTTGGTGCATTGGGTGCTCAGGTGTTGCGACGTCGGGATTCAAGGCTTACGTTCCTCGTACTCAAACGAAAACCCTCTAAAGACAAGGTTTTATCAACTGCAAACTGCTAAGCGATGCCAAGCGATGCAGGGCTATGCATTTCCGCGGGGCTTTGCGGGGAATCAACGGAGAAAGCTGGTGGGATCTGAAGGCGTGACACAAAAATCGTAGTGGCCTCTGTCATTGCTGAGACTCGTGTCGCTAGACGAACACAGCGTTCCATCTGCTGTGATTAAACAAAAACTGAAGCAGAATTCAAACGAAGATGATGATGATGATAATAATAATAATGATGATGATGACGACGGCGGCGACAAGTGATGATGGAGATGCATTGGCACTGAATGCATGAGATCGCCCCGGCAGCCCCGTGCAAAACCCTCCCACCCCTCCCCTCCTCCCTCCTCGGGGGTGTTTAGCAGGTGCATGCAGGGCTTACAGGGCGTAGGGCCCTAGGGCTCCTTGCAAGCGTTGCACGGAGCACTGCGCTCAGCGCCGGGCTGTTCCCTCCGAGGAGGGCAGCTGCAAGCACGGTCAGGCCCAGGAGGATGTGGCCGAGCTGGACCTTCCGAGCTGCGAACTCGGGACAGGGCATGTCAGATCTCTGGAAGCTTTGATGTTCGGGCTCAGACAGGCTGTGAGGATGTTGTGAAGCACACGTCGCCCACCCAAAAAGAAAACACCAGGCCAACATGACAAATTCCGGGCTAAGGCATTGGCCCAGATGAAGGGGAAGCCAAAGATGTTGGGATCCTCGAACAATCGAGCAATGCTTCGGATTAAACTGTAAAACTGCGACGACTCTGAGTGACTACAGAGAGACAACTCTTCGAAGTCTGCTGAATGCGCCCATATCGGAACAACTCAGAGTCGGGCTACCGACTCCTGCAGGCACAGCGGGGAAGAGCGAGCTCAGAGACAAGAAAAGGTTGCTAGCCGTCACTCGAGTAAGGTGCAACAGTAAATGGTGCAAATGAACCTCAGGCCCTCGGTTCACGACCCCTCTGCACCTCGCCCTCGTTGAGGTTCCAGATAGGATCCGCCTGCTTTGTGGTGGGACGGATATGAAGCCTCAACCCGACCCTCGGATCCAACAATCTGAAAGCTCTCCTGAAATGCCTGAAAAGCCCCGGCTTACACTCCCTAAGTCTGAAAAGATGCATCCTTCCCGCACCTCGAAGGTGTCCATTTCCCTTTCCTGGCAGGCTGAGCATGGCCCGGCAGCTGCGCCGTGCACGCAGCAAGCTGAAGTGGCTCAAGTGGCACCATGTACAAACCTTTCTGAGTCCCCATAGAATGGGGAAGCACTGAGGGGAATCATCTCTGTGAAATTGCCGAGAATTCTCACACACACACACACACACAACCTACTTTTCCTACCTCGGCTCCCCGACCCCAACGAATGCAGAAGGCGCCGGGCAGCAAAGCTGACAACAACTTGAAGCTCAGCCTGCCTTCTGCTGCCTCTTTCGCCGCTCCTCCCGCCTCCTTCGAATGTCCTGTGGGCACGAGAGTGGCGTTCATCTCACCCTCGAACACTAGCCTCTGACCTCCGCTTCCATTTAAACGATCCTAGATGTAGGCGGCAGGCTCTAATCTACTTGAAGCGAAGGGCGAAGAGCGCTGCAACAAACAGGAGAAAGGGACACCGCGGAGTCGCGTACCTCGTCGGACACCTTCAGCGCTGAAGCAAGGTCACGGGCGAGGACGCCCATCCTCAACAGAAAACAAATTGCTCAGCTGGTACGTTTGGACCCGGGGTGCGCAGGCAGGTTAGGGCGGGTAGGATGTGGAGCTTGGCGTTTGGGTTCTCAACTGCAGGCAAAGGGGGGCTTCAGAGAGCGGTTTCAAAGTGCCGCAGCTGGTCTAACACTGAACCCTCAACCCTGAACCCAAAACCCCGCAACCACACCGGGGCGGGGGGGGGGGGGGGGGGGCCAGGAAGGGGTGCGATCCGATCATAGATTCTGTGTACCTACATATATCATCATCCAGTGCATATATACATATACATACATATATATATATGTATATATATATATATGTATGCATGTGTATGAATATATACAGGTCGTGTATATGAGCACATGCACATGTACATGTACATGTATATGTATGTGTGTATGTATATGTAGAGGTATATGTACAGGTATATATAGAGGTATATGTATATGTAGAGGTATATGTAAAGGTATATGTATATATAGAAGTATATGTAGAGGTATAGGAAGAGGTAAATGTATATGTATACGTATACGTATGCTTATGCGTATATGTATATTATGCATAGGTATATGTAACGTACCAAACGTACCAAACACGAACCGAAAAGGTTGCCAGCCACGTCACAAGTTCTATTCTTACTTCCTTGCCAAAGCCTTGGCAGGATATCCGCCCACGGTATACTTAGCAGCACCCCCTGCACCCGAGACCTGAGGGGCAAACTGGCGCTTTTCTTCTCGGATCTGTAACTCCGACTTTGGCGGAGCCTTCCAACGGTTTGGAACTTCGATGGGCGCGTTTCTGGTGAGGTGCGTGTTTGACAGGTGCATGCGGATGCTTGGAGACACTTGGGATTAATCTTCTGGATCTCTTCCTGAAGTGGCAGCAGGGCAACTGCCTGCAGGAGCTTCCCTGGACCCGATCGGGGCTTCTATCGTGAGCATCCTCTCAAGTGCGCTTCGTAAGGCTATGGAGGGTTCTCTTTGCCTCTACCCAGACAACACGCCGGCGACCCTGGGATCCCCAAGCCCAGGGAACCAAAACCCGAAACACAAGATACAGCATACATTTAGAACAGTCGTGATATCATTCTGTGACAGATAAAAGGAACCAAAGCACCACGAAGAAGCCTGCAGAAATCCCCCGGAGCTCCCTTTTGCAGCTGCCTTCCGCCGCCGCCGCACCTTCTTCTTCTCTGCCGCCAGAGCAGTGGCCTCGGCTTGTGAGAATCTTGGGATGCCTAGAATGTAGCAACCACTCGTACCCTACATGCTGCACAGCGAAGCTCTTGGAGCCCGTTGAGATGTTTGACCCTTGCGGCAGGGCCCCAACTCCGCGGAAGAGGCTCCGTGCACCCAGCGCCAAGCAAAGTAACCTGCACGGTTGGTTTCGAGGTCGGGGTGCAAAGCGGTGTTGGGCTGGAGAGTGGTGGCAAGATTAGGTGGGACCGACGACGGAGACAAAGGAGCTGTGGCCATGTAACGTTTACTTGGCTGCACTCAGGAGGGTAGCTATCAATTAAACTGTTAGCTGCCTTAATAAGGAACCCAATAAACCCAAAAAAGGTAAGGATCTAAAGTTACAGTAAAGTACCACAAAGTTTAGACAATGTTTGGACAGCTTCAGGACCTGGGCAAAGTGCCAAAGTGCCCCCCCCGCCTCAAAGCTGCCTGGCTGCCACCGCAGAAGCGGTCTTCAAGGGCGGAGCAAGGTTTGGGCAGGGATGGGGCGTCTTACGCAGAAAGCTGCGGCAGAAAGAGGAGCGCGGGTACCCGGAGGAGCTTTGGCCTTGCTAATCGCACCTTTATGCTTCTAAATTCGAACGAGGGGTCCATCTGCGAGCCTGTGACCGTCGGCACGGCTGGATGCGCATCGATGCTGCCTGGCGTTCTCACGAAGCGTCTTCCATCACAAAACTCCACGCAGATTCACACTTGCTACGGGATCCCTGCCAGACACGTAAGTCAAACCCAGCTTTCTCCCCCCGCCTCCTAGCAGAAACCTGTCAGAGCTTTGTCCAGCTGCACCTGCAGTGTGCGGCTTCTGAGCTTTCCTTCCCTGACTTCTCCCAAGCAGCGCTGCCTTTTTGGGACCCCCAGGAGTCCAGGAGACCAAGACAACCCGGAAATCTCAATCTCTGAGCTTGACCTGAACTCCCAAGTACCAGCATGTGCGAGCCCTGACCCCAGTATCCCCAAGGCCACAAATCCGAAGACTGCGAAGTTCAAAGAGGCCGCATCGGGCCAAGCCTCGAGCATGTCTTCGAGGCTGGCTGACGGGGCTGGCGGATGGCAAAGCAAAGGTTCGAACCTTCGAAGATCTTCGAGGGGTCGAAGGGAGGCGTGGGTGCGCTGTGAGGACTTGTAACTGTTGTGCCGGTGCGAGTTGCCAGCCGGGATCTTCGGCAGTTTCAGCACTTTAGGTTCCAATGGGTTCGCGAGGCGGAAATTGCAGTTTCAACCAGCATACAGCGAAGCATCCTACAGCGAGAGCACCAAAGGAAACGTAAAGCTTCGCTTGTTCCGGATGCTTAAACGACTGGCACAGTTAAACGAAAGAAGCTCCTTCTCGACCCATGTGGCCATCCATCCGAATGCCCCGGCGCACAGTGCACATGCGGAGACTATCCGACAGACGCTTATTTCAAGAAGCCCTTCTCTCAGCATGCACGCACGTTCTGCTGTGCGAACCTTCGGCAATGCGGTGGCATTGCAAATCCAGGCAGGTTGGGTTCACTTTTTTTGAAGCCCACGACAGTAGGGGTACCATCCATCCCTAGGAACCTTCCTCAGATCCGAGCTGCCCGTGGCGAAAACACACCGTTGGCCTTGCACGGGCCAAGGCCGGCCCGTGGCCACAAAAAAAAACATATGGACAATGCGGACATGCGGGCGCATGTCCCGGGTTTGTTGCAAAAGCAACAGACCTGCAGGATCGTGTCGCGAGCCTCGACATTTCAGCCGCGAACTGCCTTTTTGCCCGAACTAGTGCGGCTGTACCATATACCCCACATCCCCTGTACTGCACGGATCAGCTTACGCAGAGCATCGGTGGAGGCCATCGCTGCGCTGGGGGCTGCCGTCGGCTTCCGGAATGCAGCGCAGATGGCTACTCGGTTGAAAATTTTGGGTCCTGGCGCTAGAAGGTGGAACGTTTCCCGTGTCCAAGGCAGGTCGCGCACCAGGGAGGGGAGGCGGAGGTGGGGCAAATCACAAACCCGACTCTAATCACGTCGTAGCTCCTTCACACAGCCTCCCCCCCAAAGCTCGAAGCAAGAGTTGGCCACCATGTAGGAATCTTTTGTGAGGGGCACAGCTTTTGTGAGGGGCACAGACTTCGGAGTCCATAAGGCCGCCAAGAGAGGACCCAAGATAGAGCACAGAGCCTCCAACAGCCCAAAAGAGCCCAAAAGAGATGGAAATGATTCATACCGCGGCCGTCAGGCTGCTCACCATCGCGTGCGCGCTTCTTTACGCTGAACCGACACAAGACGCGGACTCGCTTCACTAAGCCCGGCAATGCACTGGTGCTTTCTGGGCGGGATCCGGGTACAGGATATGAAGTTATTGAGGAGTGGCTCAAAGACCATTCAAGACCATCAAGGACGTCTACCATCTACAAGGGCTTCACGGCTTCAATGCGTGTGTCATTCTGGCACGACCCACGTACTCGCCTACGTTCATCTGCCACCTGAGGGTGAGGCAGATGCAACCCCGACGGCCACAGCGACACCTGGACGTTCTGCACCAACTCAACTCCGAGCTGGGATCGAGGCTCGCGTTTCCAGGTTGGAATTTGAGGGTGTCGGCTTGCTTGTACAAACACACAAGAAAAAAGCCACGATGATCGGTGGGTCCCCTCATGCAGACCTAAAGACTGTGGCAAAGAGGGATGCCAGAGTAGGGATGAGCGGGCTACATCCGAGCTCAAGGTGAGCGGGCTAGTGCGGGCTACATCCGAGCTCAATGACACAGCCACGCCATGCAGGTTTCCTGTTACGTCCCACCCCAAGCCGGACTTGGCGCAGTTTTTGGTCAGGGATCCAGCGGGCCCATGGACTTTAGCTAGGCTGGGTTTTGCGAGAAGACCTCTGATGGCTGTTCGTTGCAACATCACGCCAGTGCAGAAGATGCAGAGCGGCTGGAAGTGAACGAATGCGGGGCCAGCGCAGGATGTACACCTTCTCGTTCGGGGTACGAAACTAGACCACAGCAAAAGAAGAAAGGCAAAAAGGCCAGAACCCCGCTTGTGCCTGCCCCGAGCTTGCTCGACAAGTCGGAGCGGCGCCTCCAAGGGTCCAATTCAGCGAATCCAAAAGAGGGTGCCGGGGGCAGGGTGGCTGTTGTGGTGGTTCTCAAAGGCCTCTACGGGAGACCTGCACGCTGCACGGAGGAGCCAAACGCAGAATGGAATCTGGCCTACGTCCTCCCGAAGCTCGGCATCTACCCACCAACCACGACCACCGATTCTGAAGGTAAGTACACCACCGGGGCCAAAGTCTCTTCTCCAATTAACTTCGAGAGGATGAACTCCTCAGAATCGCTTCTCTGCGCAGCCCTCGCCTGCCCACCATTTGACCTGTCGGGGGCATGTCGGTGGGATGTGAGGAGCATGTCGGGGGCTCGACAGTCTGCGTCAGCTGCGTCCCCCTGTACCAGAAGCCCTACAGCAAAGCCCAAAACCATCCGAAACCCCAAATCCAGCGGACAATAGCTCCCCGGACCTCAACCCTGTACTACTTCCCATCGACATTGGCACCCGCACCGAATTGCAGCCAGCGGGCAGGCAGCCGACTGGGTGTCCTCGCACCTTCAAGGTCCTTGGCTTGTGCGCGGCTTATGCGCCCAAGTTGTTTCAGCATCGTTCCAAGAGTGCTGGGATTCCTCCAAGCTTTCTCGCAGCCCTCAGAAATTGCTGTACTCCTGGAAATAGCTGTCCGAAGACACCCCAAAACAAAGCCCCTGACAACGCACCGCGTCCGGCAGGAGACAAATGCGCCGGCCCATCGCATAAGCCTCAGGATCAAAAAAAAACTTCATGAAGCTTTATCGTCAGGTGGCGAGCACGAAACAAAATTTTGGGCAACAGGCTTTCCGAGGCTTGCGAGGCTTCTCGAGGCTTCCGAAGGTGTTCTGCAAGGTCATAAGTCAGTGGAAGCCCAGACGAGACACTGCCCCGCCTCCCCAATGCCCTCACTCCATTTCACACCTCTGAAGTCTCAAAGCAACCCCCAGAAAGTCCCCAGCAAAGTCCCCTCCGCCCCAACACCCAAACCATTCCGGCTGCGAGGCTGCAACACAAGGCCACGCCATCCCCCACACCAGCAATGAGCCAAGGAGGGGCCGCCAACATCGAAGTCCCTGTCGACGGGGCCCCTAACCGGCCCTAAACCTTAAAGTCTAAGAATCCCCCGAGCACAGCCACGTGGAGGAGTCCAAGATACCACACGCGGCATTGGTCAACTGGAACACTGGCATGTCAGGCCGGCCCGGCCACCCTAGCCTAGATCAACATGCGGACTGGCCGGAAAGGGGCGGGCTTTTGGGTTCATAAGAACCATGGTTGAGCTGGAAACATGCCGTGTGACCTCATTTCTGAATCATTCTTTTGAAGCACAGACTCTGACCTTAACCGGATGGCTGGGATTGTTCTCAGAACATTCCCCGCAGATCCAATCTGCCACTAAGGCAAGATGTGGACAGGAAAGCGCTGCTCATGGAGCAGCCGCTGACGAGTCCCACAAAATCGGATTGTTCACAACACGAAGCTGACTGTACAACGCCGCGAGCGCAGGCCGGCACAGGAATGTGGACAGGATTAGCAGCAGGATCACAACATGGCTTTTGTGCCCAAGCGGCACACGCCCTGGGACCCGCACCCCCCCTCTGCGACATCAGACGCAGAAGCGGACTCCAAACTATGCAACCCAACTGTGTTCTACCCCAAAATGATGGCGTACCACTTAAACCCCATCCCTCTACAGTATCTCCTGTTAAGGCATGGTCTTCGTCAACTGGACGCCAGTCCCTCGAAGAAGCACGAGGCCCGTTTCCGGAGATTCCAGCTTGACCTCAAGTGACAGATCTTGGCGAAGAGACTTTGAGGCCCTGGAGGATTCCGGGAGAAAGTGAAGCTACTGAGAGCCTTAGCGATCTTCACACCTGGACGCGCATGCCGAGGGGCGCCGAGGACGGCGTCGCAGCCAGCATGCACAGCTTGCGCCTCCAGGCAGGCGCGCGCCTTGGCAGAACCCAAGATCCAGGTCTTCCCCTTTGCGCGAACGCAAGACGCAGTTGACGACCAAGGTTTTGGGGCGCACGAACCGTCATCTCTTGTCGATGCCCTTTCGAGCGCCTGACAACCTTCCAAACAAAGACTCAAACCTACACCATCATGTAAAATCTGACATTCGGAAAAGAAGGAAATGCAGCCACCACGCCGCTTGAAGTGCTTCCTCGTCAATCGAAGCAACTGCCTGGGGAGCGTGGCTGGACGCATTGGAAGCTGAGGGGGCCTCCTGCAAAGGGCCTCTGGGACTCGGCTTTGAAATCTTATCGATGGTGCTTGGGATCTAGAATTTTGAGAATGAATGGTTCCCCTTGTAACGCCTAGGGAACCCTAAGTGCGGCCTAAGGGTATCTAGCATTCGGAGTTTGCAGGCCTAGGGCTTTGTCCGGAGGTGGTGTCCTCTGCGAGATTTTTTGGGGGGTGGGCACTCCAGGGTATGGGGTGGGTGGGGAAAAAGCAGACCCCGCCTGGGTGCTGAAGGCACCGAGACGGGAGCTAATCCCAGCTCCTGGCTTCCGTACCGGACTCCGTGCAGTGCCAAGGCTGACCCCACCCGCCCCTCCCAAGCAGCAGCAGAAACCACTGAGCTACCAGGTTTCCACGCAATCGGATCGAACAACAGGCGCACCCGAGCGCTGCGAAGGGCGGCCCCCTCTTCCCCACTCGCGCGCGCAATCCTGAGAAGACGCCGATCGTGTGCGCCACCTCCAGGCCTTGAATGCCGAAACAACAACCACCAGAGGTTTAGGGTTTAGGGGGCTTAGGGCTTAGGGCTTAGGGCTTAGGGTTTCGGGTTTTAGGGAGGGGGGGGGGGCTCTCCGTGCTCTTTCCATGCATGAGACAACGGAGCCGCCTGGATAAGTAAGTGGAATCTCTTCACACTTTTCGAACCCCCCAACCGCGGCCTAACGGGAAAACCCCAAAAAACGCCGGCCTTTCGGTGGAGCCCGGGAGTTGGAGAGGAAGGGAGGCCGGCCAGAGCCCAGATTGGAGGGCGGCGGGACTCCTGTCGTTGGGGGTCTTCTAGAACAAGGATGCTCTACTGGGGCTGCAGCATGCTATTCAGGAGTTTGGGGCCCCACGTTGAGATGCCTTAAGATACATTGACAGATCCCAAGGTGAGACGGTAGCCGAGAAAATGTGCCCGCCAAACTACGGCAAGCTAAGGAGCAGGACTCGGTAAAGCTGCTGCAAGTTCATGCTCCAAAACATCCAAACAGCAATCATCTCCCGAAAATCTAAGACCTAAGACTGGAATGATCCCTGATATGACGCTGGAAGAAGAAGAACAACAACACTACACATCCCCCAACCGCAGAACCCCAATGGAACCCCAAAAACCCTCGCAAACCTGAGTTGCGCTCCAGCTCCTGGCTTCTGTGACAGGACGACGGCGGTGCCCACGAGGCAGCTGCTCCGGTGGTCGTCCTTTGCCCGTCCCTTTCAAGTCTGAGAAGGAGAGACCCTACACATCCCTAGAAAACGGCTGAATCTGCAAAGAAGCCCCAACAACTTCAAAGCAACTACCCCTTGCTTGCAAGGATGGCGAGCGTCGTCATGGGTCCACTTGATGCCCATGACCCCATTGGCGCCCATCTGCTGCGCCTCAAGCTGACATGAAGAAAGTGATAAGATGCGGTAGCTGGGTGGCTTGCCGGAAGCAGGTGCGCGCCTGTACTATCAAGCTGTTGACGGCGGCGGAGAAGGTTTCCTGCTCCTCGGCGACTGCACTTTGAAGTTCAAGGATCTCTGGCATCTTCTTCTGGCAAACTCGGGTCCCAAACCCCTCAACTCCTGTGGCACGTATGCTGCTCAGAGGACTGTAGGCTTTTCAGGGCCTCGTCAGATCAGCAAAGGCACACTTTCCGCATCCCTGCGCCTGTTCGCCAGGACACCAAAGCCCCCAAACCTCCACTGCCTGGGAAAAGGCCAAGAGATCGCTTTCAAAAGAATTGCATTAAGTGGTTTCCACTCCAAGACATGCCAAGACTGCTGTCAAGCCGGAAACCTTCCAAGGATCCGCCTGACGGCACGGAAGCACTCAAGAACTGATCTCCAGGAAGTCGCCAACGTCAGAACCGACCGTTCACAAACCTTCTGCGCTCCACAATGCGAGGCCTGTAGCCGACACTGCAAACCAGGCCCAGCACCGAGGACACCTTTCGACAAAAGGGACACGGGGAACCCGACAAGTCCTCGGGAGCCGACCTCATCTAGCCATTCTACCGGCTTGGAACGTGGTGTTGAGCCGTTAGAGTGTCAGCCTTATGGGGTTTCAAAGACATGAGCCGTGCAGCCGGCTCCACGGCTCTCTCCTAGGCGCGGCAGTGGCAGTGGCGCAGCACTCGCTCGGAAATCGCGCTCCCGCCTCGGTCCTGGGTGCATGTCCTCAAGAGCAAGGCCCTCGTGGGCTTTGGTTGCTTGGGTCGTGCTCTTGCGAGTTTGTGGCTTGTGACTACACTTGCGATGTGCTGCGGCAGTCCGGAGCGATGGCAATCCACATGCGGTCAAATTCCAAAGCTTCGGCAAATGGAATCCTGGGTTTCCTGGGCTCTTCTAAATCAGGAAGGATATTACGTCACTTGACAGGGCCTCCCAGCCCACACCTACCACCCAAAACCTGTCACGGTTACATATGCCCCTACACACCTGCCAGCCATCCTGCCCTTTCTAAAATCTTGCCGAAGTACGCACAAGTGCTTGGCCGGAGTTTGCCTTGCGGCGGAATTGAACTGCGGTCAGGGAATCAGGCTCCGAAACAATTCAACAAGGGAACCTCAACAGCACTAACTCGAACCACGTTACAAGAGGTGTCTGGAGCGACCACGGAGTTTAATGTTCATTGCTACGGCTTCGCAGGGAGGGGCTTGAAACTGAGCAATCATGCTTGCCGGCAAGCTGCATCGCCGACACCTCCACCCGCGAATGGTTGAACCTGGACACCGTCATTGGCAGGCGGCTACTGTGGCAAAACGCGGAAAGACGCCCACGGCTTCGTGCCTCCAGGTTGTGACAACATGTGTTTCAGGTCCAGATGCCACGAATAACAGAGCCGGATTCAATTCATTTAGCACGGTTAGCCTGGACGTCAACGCTTTTTCCTCAACCTGCTGAGAATCACTCGCAGCATATGGCCTACAGTCTGCAATGAACGAATCCTGTTCCCATCTCGTCAAGCACCCAAGGGGCGGGATCGGATGCACCTCCTCCTGGAACTGTGACAGGCGCACTGCGGTGCCCTGGACGCAGATTCGTCGCACTTGTGAGGCTTCTCAAAGGCATCAAACTAGGGCAATGGTGGGGATTTGAGAAGGTCGAGGTCTAGGTTTTTTGGTTCCTGCTTCCGTTGTTGCGTCGCCTTGGGTCAAGACACGTTCGGGCTCTTCACCTTCGAATCCTCCCACCGGGCGCGCCAGGGCGCGCCTTCAGCACGCACATGAAGCGGGAGCAATTCCAAACGCTCAAGGCCTGTCGGGATTTGCAACTGGAACAGTATTTCACGTGCTTCTAGGGGCTTTGGAGCCATGCAGATTCCCTACAACTTCGCATGGGCAACAGGGCGAACATAAGTATCCGACTCTGTCATTACCACGTACGCTTGACGTCGGTGGTGCAGTAGCTGACGACAGCGCCTCCTAGCTTGTATCTGAGACATAGTGAAGTGGGTATTTCTGTCGGTTGGGCGACAGGCCGGTTGCGAGCAGTTGCAAATGCTGTTCTCCGGTCACCCGTAAGGCCCCATGTTCAGAGCTCGGAGCCTCGATCTTGAGGCCAAGAACCGCATCTGCTCCCAGGGAAGTGGCCGCTGCCTGCAGCAGCGTATTGCCCGTGAGAGAAATCCCTCTCTGAAACGAGGACGTGTCCAAGGAATACAAAGACGTGCTGCGATTGAAGTAGCAACTGCTCTTTCCGCGGCTACGGCAATGTCATGGCTCGCTGTGAAGCCCCATGAAGTGTTCCTGAAGCTTGGCAGTCGCCCGCTCCAAGGCTGCGAGCTCGCCCATGGCTGTCCTGAAGCAAGGCTGAAGCGAAACCAGGCTTTCGGGTCTTTTGGCTCTTGTAGCACGACTCTAGCTGTAGCCCAAGGCCCCCGGAATCTAACATCCCCCCCGGCAAACTGAAGCAACTGAGTACAGCGCGAACCGCTGACAAGACCGACGGACCGACTGATAACAATGACCGATCAGAAGCAATGGCCACGTCAACGTGAACTCACCACTTCTTCACCAAATCCTCAACCCCAAGATATCAGCTTCTGCCGGAAAAAACAACACAGAACCGCCAAGAGAGTCCTCTGGCTGTTCCATGAATAGCCTCCGCGACTGTAGTCTCGGAAGGGACTCAAAGCCGCTGCCGCCACGATGCCTTGGGGCAAAGGATGCGGCGGGCCCAGATACAAAACTGGCCCCCCCACAGGCACCCACCCAAAAACGGACAAAAACAACTGTCAGCTCCCAAGCGTGTCAAGCGTGTCAAGCGTGTCAAGCGTGTCAAGCGTGTCAAGCGTGTCAAGCGTGTCAAGCGGCCAAGAAAAAAGTGTCCCAACCCCCTGCAGAGGATCCTACTGGACAAGATACACTGAACAGCCTTTCAGCCATCTCCGCTTTTTTTTCACCTCAACACACCAGGATCCCGGCCTAGCACCGAGGAAACAGCGAAGCCCTCTGGAGGATTCCTGTGTCAGCCCATGTCGTGGCTTAAGGGATGCTTCAAGAGTCTCGAGTCGCCCTCTGGGCCTCAAGGCTGCGTCCATCTGTTGTTGGGCTTTGAGAGCCCCCCTGGTTGGAGATTTCAAGTAGGGGTTGGCTTGGGAAGCAGCTGCTGCTAAGGGCACAGCAACATCTTCAACTCCCGGAATGAGCGTAAACATCATGGCACCTGGAATGTGGCCAACATGTCGCCCTGTGCCCAAGAGTGGAAAGATGAAACAACAAAGTACCACTTGAGTTGCTTCCTGAGCCTTTTGAGCCACATCCCAAAAGTCGTCCCTTGTCCTCAGGCACTAACGCTGGCTCTCCTGAGCGTGGAGCAGACGGCCGCCCGAGGTGGAGGGAGTTCCGCAAAAATCCTGCTCAGATTTGATTCACAGAGCTTTCTTGGGGCTTTGGAGGTGGGCTTTTTGTCGGTTCTGGGTCCTCGGCCATATGGTGTTCAGAGATTGCATTGTCATAGTGGCATGCTGGAGTGATGCGACGCTGCATATGGAATGCACAAGGATGGGGGAAGGAAAGGAACTTCGAAGTCAAAAAAATACCGACATGAACTGGGTCTCCGTGTCTGTGGAAGTTCAGGTTGAGAGCTGCTCTCCTGGGGTTTACGTTGCACGGCCTTTAGTAACATTACCCGCTTCTCTGCGAATTATGCGAATTTACAAAAACTATTCGGAGTACCCCTATTTGGGCAGGAAGCCGAAAAACAAAGAACAGCTTCGCACAAGAAGGCCTGGACAGCTTAGACCCTCAAGCTTCAAACATGGTGGCGGCGCCCGTAAGAGGCCGTGTGAGTGAACACATTTTTGTTTACATTTTTCGCGTCGGGGGCTAAAAACCCAAGCGAAACACACATTTTCGTCATGACCGCAGCAGTTGCAGGGCTCGAAAACACTGAAGGGTTAGGTCCTTTTTTCGGAAAAATGCATTTTCGCTCGAAGCCTGTTCGTTTTTTTTGTTGATTTTTTTCCAGGGGGTCTTTTTTTTTGAAGTTTTGGACGCGCTTTTTGCTCGAAATTGCGCTCTCGCCTAGGCGCGGGCACGTTTTCCTCATTCCCCATGTTGAACTTTCAAATAGGGATTTTCGGTTCGGGAAGTTTTTTCTGCGTTATGGCTCCGGCAGTTCAGGTTCGAAATAGTGCTCTCGCCACAGCGCAGGCATGATTTTCTGGAATTGTGCTTTGGTTGTAACCCAACAGACTTGTGCACTGGATCCTGAAAGTGGCCTCAAGTTGATTCTTCTTCAGGGTTCAAGGTTCAAAGTTTAGGGTTCAGGTTTTAGGATTTGGGTTTGCACTGCTTGGACTATTCTTTTGGGTTTAAGGATCGTTTTTTGCTTGAAATTGCGCTCTCGCCTAGGCGCGGGCGCGTTTTGCTTATAAACCCCGAATTAAACAGCAAGGGTTTAGGCCTTTGGGGATTAGGGGTTCAGGCTTTGGAGTTGCAGGTGTGAAGTCCCAAGTCACGTGATTACCCCCCCCCCCACCCCGAGCCCCAGAAATTGTGGTTACTCGCACGGCCTCTTGGAGGCGCCGTCTCCTCAAACATGCTTGGTTGTCTGGAGTCCGGCTTTGTTTATGAGTCCTTTTGACAGTTTATTGCGAAACCAGCCCGCAAACAATTTTCCAAGGGAAAATAAACCAACGAGCCGCCCTCATGCGCCTTAGTATATTGTTATATTGTTTCGGTTACCCGGATTGACCCGGAGCCAGCCCGGCCGGGACCTCGACCCTGCTACCGCCCTACCCCCAGCCCCCGCTCCCGTTTACCGAGGGTGTACAAAAACCCGAAAATTGTTTGAGGGGGTGGGGCCCCTGCTTTCTCAAACCAGTGCAACATCACGGTGTACTAAGAGATATTCGGACTTCGGATGCGAGGGCTAACGACTGACATCCTGACAAAGCGCCTGAGCTCTCGCGGCCTTAGTCCACTGGATAGTCAAGGCAGAGTCCGCTCCCGTCCTGCTCTGCGGCTCTTGGCCAAGCACAACCTGATCATGTAGGGTTTTGGGTTTAGGCTTTAGGCTTTAGGGTTTAGGGTTTGAGGGCTTGAAACCCTTGCAGCTCATGGGCCCAAGCAGGTTGTGGGAAGGATCATCCCAAACCATCCCAACGCATCCCAAACTTACAAACTGCAGGGACATGATCCGCCGCGATTGGTTCATGCTCAAGTTGCAGTGAAGACACATCAAAGAGAAAGCGCGATCTCTAATATGCCGGGCTATCCTTGAAAGATCCCACACCAGAACCCTCCTCGTATTCGACACAGCTTCAGGAAGAAACAGCGCAACTCTGCTGCCCAAACACTGCGGTTCCCACCGCTTGGGAAACAAACCGGTTGTTGTCGTGCATCCACTTCACCTCGGCTTCGTGTCCACCGTGGCCAAACACATGTTTCTTGGGAGCATCCGTTGGAGCAACAAGGGGACTCCACGACCTGAGATCCTGAGCCCAAGTCAGCTTCATTCGTTTCTTTCATCGCTCGGGGTCACGATGCTTCGGGAACGATAAGGCTGCCGAATCCGTCCAGAGTTTCACGTCTTGCGCGCCCCACATCCCCTTTGCCCCCGATCTCAAGGATACGCGGGTCGGGCGCTAAATGTTGTCTGAGTCGCGCCCAGCACGGCGTTCGCCCCCATGGCCTGTGCCATCCGATCTCCACTGCACTGGTCACGACAAAAAACAAAGAAAAGCGTTTACAGAGTTTTACGGTAAGTTTAGGATTTAGGGCGTGTTGTGAATCATGTCTCACAATTTCTCTCATCTTTCGGTCCAGCATGCCTTCTAAGAAACCCTCATGTAGGGCCAGCGGCCTCTCTTAATACCGTCAGGCATGTCAGCAATTGGGGCTGCAGTGACCTATGACATTGTCGTTTTTTGGGGTCATTTAGTCGTTCAGGGTTTCGACTGAGCTGCAGGGATCCAGCGGCTGCCCGCCTGCGCCTGCTGCGCCAATCCACGCACAGCCTCGCCTGAGCATCAGGACTGAAGCGAAGAGGAGCTCCCTTATAGAGACCTGGAAAACTGCACATGGACCGTTCACTTAGAGTGTTGCCCAACACCCTTGCACCAGGAATGCCCACCTTCTCAAGAGCATTTGTAGCTCAGCATCCCTTCTGACAGAATCCACCCGCGAACTCTGTAACGCTCCGTTCTGCCAGCAGCACCAAGGCACCGAATGCTTGCGCATCCGTGTCAGACGGATCCTGGGCTTTTTTGCAACCACCGAGGAGGACGGCAAAGGCTCTGGCAAGGGCGCTGGCGCTTTGAGGTGCATAACGGCTTAACAGCCAAGGCTTCCTTGTCCAAACCGCGCTGCAAAATTTGCAGAGACACGACATGCGAGATGTGGTAAATGTAGAAGCACAAGTCGCAATCACTAGCCGGCATTGAGTATGCTTCTCTGCTGGTAACACCTGTAACGCCAGGGACATGTGACATGTAGGGACCCGAAACGAAGATCGGCCGAGCACCTCCCAGGTGAACCACTGGGGTGGCCGGCCGGCAACGCAGGCGACGAGGCCTCGCCGCGGACCAGCATTGATGCGGGGAGTGTCGCAATGTGTCACCAAAGCCTGGACCCCCATCACACCCCTATCACACCTGTGCGACTGTGTTTACGTAGCTCTCTCTCCCTCGCTCTCCGCAAAGCGAAGTCCCGGCACGAACCCCAGAGAAGCCGCAACAAGAGCTCAACCAGTCGCCTTTGACTTCGGCCACGTGGAGGTTGGCCGGTGGTGTCTGGTTGGGCTTACTTTAGGTTTGCGGAATCTTTCAGAGCTGGGGAATCAGAAGGGGTCTGGTGGATTGAGATTGCGAGGGCGCAGGTCATAGGGCAAGGTGCTGAAGCTGCACTGTGCACGACGAACATGTCACCCGGCTGCCAGAAAATCTCTTGCCTGCAGCGTCGAGGGCGGAAAGCAGCCTCTGACGCAGGAATGGAACAGTCTGCCCGCGTTTTCTGCGATGCTGTGGCGGTGACATGTCGACTGGTGCTTCGATCTGCAGATACAAAGTAGCCCTGGCGTGTGGTCGCACAATTAACATACGCTGTGCGTCGGTGCAATCATGCAGACGGCCCACGCAACCCTCGGAAGTCTGAACCCGCCCACACACTGCGGAAGGCCCAGATATGCCTGGCACCACCTGCAGATTCGAGCCAGCCTGCAGCCAAGAATTTGGATCTTCGGGACAATCCGACTATGTCCGACTATATCCGACTGCCTCTTTTCTAAACCCGGAGGCGGCCTCAGTGGCCAAACGAACGGCAGTGCCGCGGAGCCTGGCTGATCAGCCATCTCAGGTCGAAGCCCCTCATGCCCCTGCAAGATCATATGAAGGACCCCCCCCGTGCACAGGATACCGGCTACCGACACAGGGAACTCTGCCGAGCTGCACACACATGGACTCCATGGGCTCCTCCGGCTTCACACCTTGCAGGGTAGCACCCCCCCGCAGGCACATGTCGGGGAGGGGGGTGGGGGTTTCCGGAATGTAGGGGGTACCTTGTTGGGGTCCTTATTAAAAAGGGGATCTGGTTTTCTAAATCAAGGGGTCCCCTATTCTCGTAAACCCCCATATAGTAGTAGCACACAGAAGACAAGGACTCCACACCACCGAGAACTGAAGGCCCCGGCCGAGCACCGCGTTGGCGCCCAGTGCTGCCGCTGCTTGGAGCAGCTGCTGACGGGCCTCCGAAGGGACTTAGACCTGGGCCCTCTCGAACGGCCCCTAAATATCTCGAAGTCAATTTTCAGTAGGGTTGAGCTGTTTTGTTGGATGTACCGGGAGGCTTCCGGAAGCCTGCCGAAAGCCCTCGAAAGCCAAGATTTTGCCATAAATTGTCCGCATCTGACCACGAAGCCCTCCTGGATCATAGCTGTCATAGCCCGAATCCAAGCCGAGTGGCTTGATGCAGGGCTGCCGCCTTGGAGGCTCGGAGTTTGTGGGACCGTTGGGGTGCATCTTTTCCGTTCGGAACTCATTCAGCACGAAGCACAAAACCATACAAGACCTCTTCTGCCGCAACCCTTCATGTACTGGCTGGCCTCACGGTCGGCCATCTGCTTGCAAGCTGCCGTAGGGTTCCTCAGCCGCATACCGTCTTTGGCGCTTTGAAGGGGATGACGCCAAGCGCATCAGAAAATTTGGATGCTCCTCCACTGGCTAGCGAGACTGACCAAAGATATGCACTTACGCTGCATGCCTGATTTATGGTAACCCATCAGGAGCACACTACGCAGCCGCAACAACCCAAAGCCGTGAACTAGCTTCCCCCCACTCCTCCCGACGTAAGGCAGCAAAGCTACAGAGTGAGGCTCCAGTTCGCATTAGCACCCACCCCTTGCATGCGGCATCGGGTTGGATTTAGGAGTGCAGGAAGGGAGATGAGGGGCATGACAGCAGCCTCCAGAACGTCAAAACCCGCAGCCTTGGACGATCCCCAGTGTCTCGTCCACGCGAGTTCCGTGCGGGGGCTCGCGGACCTCGATGCCGCGAACAAAGCTTAAGCTTGCACAAGTCGACCCGGTCCATTCCCAGTTTCCGGAGGAACCTATATCGGTCAACCCGAGAGGTCACAAATTAGGTGTCCCCAAATGCGGTCTGGAGAACCGCGGAGAATCAAGCTCGACCTGGCCGAGCCCTCCTTTAGTGATATTCAGGGTGTTCATGGAACCTGGGTGCCGCCAAAAAGCTCAACAAGCCCCCTGATATCCTGAATCAGCTCCCCTTCCTCTTGACATGTACCCGGCTAGCAAGCTGACATCATGATATCGACGATCCCAGTCTCTTGATTTGTCGGGACTTAGCTCCCAAGCCCAGGAGCCGTGGAGGCGAACACCGGCCCAGTGTAAGGCAGGGCCGACTCCGAGACTTCCGAGACTTCCGAGACCTCCGAGACCCGGGGGTCGAATCAATTGCCGGTGACAAAAATGCCCGGCTCACAGAGGGCGCTCCTGAAGGGCTCTCATGATGGCGCCTTCTCTGGTATCCGCACGGCCGTGCCGCAGAGCATCGCCTCATAGGTCCTCCGGGCCGTTTCGGGGCAACATGGGATAACACACTGAGGGCATTGCCATCGTCCTTCTGTAGCCTTCCTTTGTCTCAAATCCACGTGCTTCATAATTAGGTTCATAACATTCATACATGTTTATACTCGTCACATCTCGTCACGTTTCCTATACTCCCCCACTTGAGGAGCTGTGGGCCACTGCTCAGATGTGAAGGACCCTCCCACTGCCATGCGGAACACGCGAAGCCAAGAAGCCGATGCCTGAAGCCCCCATAAGTCACGCCCACGAGAACCATCAATGCCACAGGCTTTTGGTTTTGGGCGCACTGTCTTGTGCCGCTGCACGCGCCGGAACGTCGTCGGCCCGTTCTCGCTCTTCTCCTCTGTGTGCCAATCGTCAGGCTTGAGGGCTCTGACTTGACACTGCGGGAGTCTGCACCTTCAAGACATCTCATGATCTCTCTTACAAAGATTGGGGGACATAGCCGGACATAGCCGTCACTCCATGGCCCGTTCACCCGTCCTCCTTGACCTGGAAGCAGTCACACTGCAGCCAGCGCACGCCCACCACGGCGTCGGCACCAAGTTGCTGGGCTCTTTGCCTGGCAGTGGTGCAAATTTTGGGTTGACAAGACAAAGTTCACGCCACAACAAATGCCTCCTTAAGAAGGAAGATTATAGTCTTCTTAACTCTTCTCAATTCTTCTCAAAGACCAATCTTTGAAAGACTCGACCACCAGCTCTGAATGTCCGAGGCTCCTCGCAGCTCTCCAAACCTTCCACCAACTACCATACCCTAGCCTCCACAACGCACGCCTGGCTTGGGGGCTTTTCACTTGCCTTTAACAGAAGTCAGGTTGCTGGAGCAGGCGCCCGGCTTGCGCGAATGAAGCACGCTCCTTGCCAGGAAGCTTCAGCTCAACAACGTCAGCTTCGGGTTTTATCTGGCACGTGAGTATGCTGACTTCTTGGCCAAGTGGAGGCCAGCCACCACATGATGTGACACAAGTCTCAATCTCCTCTTGACATCTGCCCTCCATCATGCCAGACATGCTGAAGCTGATGCCCCCCCACTGGCCAACCGCAGCCGTCACGCATCCGAGCACCTTCTCGTTGGAGGGATGGAGGGCTTGGTTTAAATGTTGACAACGTCGTAGACTTCGGACGTGGGCCACAATAACTGAGGGAGTACAAGGCTCAGGCACCTCAGAGTTTCTTCCAGACACTTTGGGACCCTGGTGTGCCTCGCCATTGAGCAGCTCCGGCTCGCCTGTGCGCATCAGCCTGGGCCAAGCGTGTCAGGCTAGGGCTCTTAAGGGCTCTCAAGGGCTCAAGGGCTTCGGCTTCTGTGCCACGATTGCCCGAAAACCATGCCCGAACATTGAGAGCAAGATGAGCAAGCCCAGCAGCAGCGGCGGAAGATCCAGTGACACCAGGCTCTGCTTCAAGCCTGCCAGGCTCTGCTGCCTCAGCTGTTGGAAATCTGGACATCGGCATGATCCATCCACCCCCCTCACGCGAAGTTGCCGAGAGTCACCACCACCCATGATGTGCTTCTCTTGGCTTCGAGCAACTCTGATGCTTGGTTCAATCATATTTCGCAAGCCGATTCAAAGAGGTCTGCCTTAAAACGATGAGAAGAAATTCAAGTGTTGGGTTCAGTTGACGTGGCTTCTAGATTTCTCCAGTTTGGTTTTGACATGTTTTGAATCGAAAACGATGCAAAACGAGCAGCACAGGCAGCACAGTGAATGCAATGAATTCCAAATCAGCCGAAGCCCAGCCCTCACATCCTCACTAAAACGGCCGAGGCGTCAAGCCATGCAGTCGGATCTGCAGCTGCAGCCCGCGCTGCTTCAGTAGCTCCTCCATGTCCTTCCTGAGCACTGACACATCGACATCGTCAGCGCGTTTCAAAACAGGCTGAACATGGCTGAACCCGAAAAGGCTGAAGAGAGGGCACAAACACAACAAACCGTGCCAACTCCTAACGCTTCGAGCATTTCGAGCCAGAAGGCGCGCCCTGTGCCTCCCCCTTCACGGAGCTCAACGGGTTGAAGCGCTGATCCCAGCGGAAGGCGGCCTACAGAAAAGGGCACGGTGACTCTTCAAGAGCCCTGGCTCCTCATATGAATCTCATATACATCTCATGTCCGCATCGCCTTCCGCGCTTGAACCGCGGCAGTCTCCAGCTCGGAGCAGCTTTGGGCCTTTTGCACCCAAGAGATTGGGGGGTGTAGGCCGAGGCATTGTGGGACAGCCCGATACAGCAAGGAGGGCTTGGACCTGAGTTTCACTGGGACTTGGGTCTCGGGTTTGGGTCTGGGATCAATCGGGGGGAGTTCGGGCTCTCATGTCTCGCTGGGCTGACCGTAGCTCGCTATTGCCAGCTGACTCGAACCTGTCTACTTTCTGCAGTTTGCTTCTCATACAGGACAAGACCACACCCCTTTACCCCTGCCTGCGTTGCAGCCTGTGCCGACCAGTCTCCCAGACAGCGGTGCGACTCCGCTCGCGCTGCCGCGAGCTCCCGGCGCCTTCGACCCGAGTGGGAGACTTCAGGCACGCTTCGGGATGCTTCGGGGTGGTGGGCGGTTCTATGCCGCGCCTTTGAGTCTGGATGGGTTTGTACTAACGGTTTGTACTATCCGCAGAGGCCTCGGGCCGCAGGTGTTTTGGGGAGCACAAAGCAGATAAAGCAGGCACCCCACCTCTAATCCCCTCCTGAACACACCTCCCTTGAGTACTTCTTTGCTTGGAATGCCTCCGATGCGTCCCCCCCTAACCGAAACCTTTCCGGGAGCATACCCCCCCTATCCTCCCTTCCATCCATCCCCACTTCCACCCCCCCCCCCCCCCGCCTCCCCACCCCTGCCGACCCGTTGCACTTCCTTCTGTGTCACACGGGAACTTTCTTCCCTTCGACTACCCCCCACCAAAACAAGCAGCCTTGCTCGGCCCTGTCGTGCCGACCGACCTTGCCTTGCCACTGCGGTGGCGGCAGGCCCAAGCCCAGGCGGGTCGCGCTGCGTTGGGGTTCGATGATCGAGGTCTTTTCTTTGCGGCTTGGGCGCCTTCCAATCTCGAGCTCGGAGCTCGAAGTTACTTGAGACTTTAAAGTTGAGGTTTTCCAGAAAGGAGTTCCAAGGGCTCGATGGGCTCGAAAAGTCGGTCTTGCTCTGTTGCAGCCTTACATTGGCCTGCAGTTCACAATTAAACTCCGACTCTGTTTCCAAGTTCCACTTGAGGCCTTGTGTTCTGCAGAGCTTTGGAGAAGGCCGCTGCATTGGTCTCCAACGACAGGGCGACTGCATCTGCTTGGTCCAGGAACACAGAATACCTGAGATTCGGGCACCACAAAGTACAACGCTTGACGTGCTGCTGTCCCTCCGTGATGGACTTCATGTCGTCGGCTTGGCACTCCGAGGAGCTGCTCCGCTGCTGGAAGTGGAGGAGCCATGGATGCACACGCTGAAAGGAGAATAAAACTGAACGGGCGAGTAAAACCACTGCAGAACAAAATTGACACCTCTGCGCCCAAGTAGAACTGAGACGTGCCCCATCAGTACAGATCCAAAACCACTAAAACACCTATAGGGGTTTATGTAGCTCGTGTCCTGTCAAGGTGTGAGCCACAAGATCAAAACGAGCGAACACGTCTTGTCGCACAGGCCGGCTTGAAACAAAACACCAACATATTAACATGGTTCGGACAGGAACTACAAAGACTAAGCTGAATCCGATTGAGGCACCCGTCTTTCTCTTCTTCTTCTCCTCCTTCTTCTTCTTCTGGAGGTGAGTCAGGTCTCGGTGAACTTTTGGCGATGGGCTCATGCGGTTGGGTCCCTACGGTTCTTTCTCGCTCTCTCTCTCTCTCTCTCTCTCCCTCCCTCTGTCTCTCTCAGAGCACCGGGATTTGCCACACACGAGATGCAAGACAAGAGGTCTTAATGCGGAAGGCAAGGATAACACGTGGGCGGCTCGCACAACAGGTCTCTATTTTGCCCGACCAGCTGCTGTACCCACCAGTGTACGCATAGATGGACAAATTCATGACTAACAAAGGGCCAACCTTTGTTAGCCCACAAAACAATTGCAGACAGAATCGTCCGACGAATGCAGACATGCAGCTGCTTCGCAGCTGCTTCGAGCTACTAACATGGTGCTGCTAAGCGGGCTTGCTTAGACAGCATGCAGCACGAGGGAATCGTGGAAATGCTTCAGCCCAATAACACCCTTTAGCCTCTTGCCACAACATATACCCCAAAATAACCATGAACTAAACCACGCAGAAAGCCACAGACAGTTGCTAGCCATGGTGAACAAAACTTCCAGACTTTAAATACTTTTGATATAGTGCAAATATATGTATGTATGTATGTATATATATATGGTACCCCTTTTCTATGTCGAGACGTTATGTTTATGATATTCGAAGCCGGATGTATATATATATATATATACATCCGATACGAAATATTAAATACTTAGAGACTCCAATAAAAATCTCCAGGGCCAGGAGTTTTAAAACTCTTCTTGTGGCTAAGCAAGGAGTTTTAAAACTCGTGGCCCCGAAGATTGAAGATTGAAGATTCCCCAGAACACTTTCCAGGAATCTTCAATCTTCAATCTTAGGGGCAGGGAGTTTTAAAACTCCTCTTGTGGCTAAGCAAGGAGTTTTAAAACTCGTGGCCCCGAAGATTGAAGATTGAAGATTCTCCAGAACTCTTTCCAGGAATCTTCAATCTTCAATCTTCGGTGGCATGAGTTTTAAAACTCCTCTTGTGGCTAAGCAAGGAGTTTTAAAACTCCCGGCCCCGACTACTTGAGATTGAAGATTCCCACAAAGAGTCCTGAGACATCTTCAATCTTCAATCTTCGGTGGCAGGAGTTTTAAAACTCCTCTTGTGGCTAAGCAAGGAGTTTTAAAACGCCCGGTCCTGAAGATTTTTCTTATGGTTAAAAAAAATCTTACAAAACTCTAGGCCATGGTATTATATATTGAAGCACTGAAAGTGGTTCCATTATATGTGCACAATTTCGACGCGCAGCTTGGGCTATAAACGCGCAGTTTCCAGCCATAGCATACTCCTCATGTCGGCCGTCAACATGAAGGTTGCGTGCGCGTTTAGGTTAATTGTAATCCTATATGGGTTTTGGGGCTTCTCTATAAAACGCTAAGCCCGGGACCTTTAAATCTTAACCCTATAGGGTTTAAAGGTTATGTGTTTCAACTTAATTGCAGGCTTAGGTTCAAAATCATATATCTTAAGCCCTAAACCTTTAAACCTTAACCCTATAAAGTTTCCAGGTTGCAGGTTTCGTTTAATTACACGTCAAGGTTTAAATACATATATCTTAAATTCTAGACCTTGAACTAACGCTTAAAGTTTAAGGGTTTCGGTGTATTTGCAGGTCAAGATTTAAATGCCTATATCTTAAGCCCTAAACCTTTAAATCTTAATCCTACAGGGTTTAAAGGTTAAAGAATTGGGCTTATTTGTTTAATCCTATAGGGTTTCGGGGCTTTTCTTTAAAACTCTAAATCCTGGATCGATAGGGGTTTAGAGTGCCTATGTCTTAAACCCTATACCTTTAAACCTTAACCCTGCAAGGGTTAAAGGTTTCGTGTTTCCGTTGAATTGTAGGTCAAGGTTTACATGTCTGAAATTCAAATCATAAAACCTTTAAACCGTAACCCTATAGGGTGTTTAAAGATTAAGGGTTGAGGTTAAATTGCTTAACCCTATAGGCTTGGGGTTTTGGGGCTTCTCGTTAGAATCCTAAACCCTGGATCGATAGGGTTTTGGAGAATAAGCCCTGACAATACCCTTAAACAAACCCAGAACACGCAGTGGAGTGAAGTGGAGGGGAGTGGGGGGGTGTGGTGGGGAGTGTTTTGTGGTCCTACTTATTTTGGAAGACCGACCCCTGGCGCCCTCTCCCCTTCTATTTAGAAGCAAATTAAGTCCTTATAAGCAAATTTGTTGCGTTGGAGGTTGAGTGAGTACACAGATTACGTACCAACTCATACATACATATAAAGCCAATACACAGTATGAATATGCATGTGAGTATTGCAACACTACGACGACTTCAATCTTTAATTTGAGGGTCGATTCAAAACTGAATCGGCCGATTCAAATTTGAATCGGACATATTTCATCATTATAGGGGAGCCCGCTCTTTAGGACGTAGCGAGAAGGATTTAGGGAATAGGCGTTGAAGTGGGGAGCATCCCAAAGCTTAGTCCCCAAATCCGATTTTCTAGGGGGGCGCAAATCTTATCGCTAAAGCTTTAGCGTTAGCGAGAAGACTTATTGAGCAAGGTTGGCTTTTGTATGAGTTAGGGGGGGTCTCATTTTTGGGGATTTAAGGCTACTTAAGATTCCCTCTTTAGGATTTGGTGACTCCCTCCCACCCCTCTTCCCCAATATGATTTAGGGAGTGAAATTAAGGGATAAGATTGAGGGATCCTTCTTTGTTGACTTTAGCGATAAGATCTACTGAGTAAGGTTCTTTGTTTTATGATGTAGACGGAGAGGCTCATCTTTAAGATTTATAGTAAGGATCCCCCTCTTTAGGACACCCCTCTTTAGGGCTTAAGCAATAGGATTTAGAAAGTAAAACTAAGGAATGCTTTTTAGGATTTAGGGGATCTCCTCTGTAGGGTTTAGCCCCCCTCCCCCGCCCCCCACCTTTAGGCCTTAGGGAGTTAATTTCAGGGAACCAGATCTAGGGATCCCGATAAGATTTTATCCGAGCATCTGTTTAATTGGTGGGACCCCCCACCGCAATAAGAAAGGCAGGGCACTGCAATAATGAGACCATGGCAATGTATGCATTCTCTATTAAGCACAATAGGAATGTATTGTAGTTTCGCCGATCCAGACTGCAGCTCAGCAATCAAAAACGAAGCCTGCAGACAGATTTTTGAACACCCCCGGAAAATATTCATTCACTGTGGCGGTATTTCCCCATACGGAAACCCCCGTAATGGAGGTAGTAATTCTCTTTTAGAATTCAGAGGCTCTCCTCTTCAGAATTTCAAGACTTCCCTCTTTAGGGCTTTGGGAAAAGACTTAGGGAGTAAAATCATGGGAATATGATTTAGGGATCCCACCCTTTAGGATTTAGCGAGAAGATTTAGTGAGCCATTTAGTGACCCACCCCCCCCCCCCGCCCGCCCCAGATTTAGGGACTGGGGGAATATGATTTAGGGAATACGATGTAGGAATCCCGTGCTTTCGGATTTAGCGAGCAGGATTTTGGGAAGAGGGTTTATGCAACAGAAAATTGTGTGAATGTCAAAGGATTTAGGGAGTCGGTCTCATCTTTAAAGCGTTTTGATGTCACGCAAGTGTAGAAAATTAGAAAACGGTAGGTTTTGGAGGGGGGGGGGTAGCATATATATATATATATATATGTATATAGCATATTTTATATATATATATACTTTATACATCTATATGTACATACATCTCATGAGAAAAAGCGTAAAAAAAATAAGATAACTCACCGTCTGTTAACTCCATACATCCGGAAACAACAAAAGCGAGAAACAACAAACAATATTAACATGAAATGCGCATCCCAGCATGGACAAGAAGGACGAAACTTCGAGCTGGGGCTTCGAATTGTGACTCTCCTTCTGTTCTGCTGCGGTTGGTTTTGCGCCCGTCGCATTTTTTTTGGGTACTTCTCTCATTCGGTCTGCTTTTGATCTGGTCCCCTGGCTCGGGGGGTCTGACAATCCTGGAATCCGGCCAAAGTGGGGGGTGATCAAAAAATAGAAAAACAAAACGCAAAAAGATAAAAAAAAAAAAAAAAGAAACAAAACATACATTTACAGCAGAAATAATGAGAAAAAAGAGCTTGGAAGGCAACCACACAAATCAGAAACACATCCCAGACGCACATAGGAAAAACGGGTTGGTTAGCGCCAGCCGCTAGGGGCGAGAGGCCAAAACATGTCAATCTTGGGGTCCCAAGGCAAACTCACTAGCCCTTGCCGTTCTCAGGGGCCTTTTACCACAGCTCGTCAACAAAGACGAAAACACAATCTCAGTAAAGCAATCTCTTTCTGACCTCATTCTCATCTCATTCTGACACCAGTGTTTTTTAAATTTCCGGACGCGTCAGTTCTACCTACGCTCCCAAAAAGCGTTTTGTTTCTTTATCCTTTCCTTATGGATAGTGTTAACAGAACCAAAGCATCGTTAAGAGTCAAGCTCTTCGTTCGAGGATGAGGCTGCACAGGTGCCCTGAATGGCGCTATAGCTGCAAAAACAGGTTGGGCCATGCACGACATTCGGTTGAGGGTCTTGGGGTGTAGGGGTTGAGGAATTCGCCACACTTTCAGTCATACTTGAGAGCCATCGAAATTCTGATATCGGAAGCCCACCTGCCGTAACGTTTGAACCCCCCGCCCCCACACTCCTACTATGACAAGTAACATATCATATGTAAAAGATATTTATGTATATATAACCTTTGGTCCATTCATACCTACCCTACAGCCCTAAACCCTAACCCTAGACTTCCCCTGCCGAAGCCCCTGAGTTCCTCCGAAGCCCTCTGCCGCAGCATGAGGTTAACAGGCGCCGCCCCAGGCCCTGCAGCGGGGGGGAGGTCGGAGGTACCCAAATTGGAGCTTCCTCGAGTGGGGATTGCAGAGAGCCCTTCTTCAGAAAGTACTCGCAACTGAATACGAGGCTCAAGAGAGGGCAGGCTCTTTTCAATGACAGGGCTCAGGCATGCTTCACATGGCCGTACTCCCACACTTCACATTTCCTCCTTCACATGAACCAAACTGAGGGATGGCAAGTCAGTTCCTGTCAGGAACGAAGAAGGGTCCGCGCCTCTATTTCGGGCCATCACCCGGACCAAAATCTTCGGGCTTCCGCTTGGGCTGCAGCTTTCCAGTCTCCTGCACTTGAAAGCTCAACTTGATAATTGATCTTCATACCACTTATGGCCCGAGGTCGTCTTGTGACTGAAACACTTGAGAGAAAGGTAGATTGGCAAACGACAGCTCCCGCCCGCTCCAAGGAGCCAGGCTTGAACTTTATTCATGGCTTAGATCTTCAGCGCAGTGTCTTGGAAGTGGAAGCTAGTGCCAGCCAGAAGCAGCCAGGGGCTAGAATTGCAATGTGCAAGTTACGACAACTTTATCTGGACCAAACGGTATCATGTCGATGAGGGCATTTTAACACGTACAGAGTACAAAATACAGGGTATTGGCCGCTGCACTTAAACGCATTGAATGCATTTCAAAACCTAAATAGGGCAGACTTGGGCTAGCTGAGTGCAAAGGGAGGCTTGTGCAATCAAATTACGCAAAGATGCACTTGCCCAGGGCTCCTTAGGCCTCAGAGCTGCAGAAAAGTTGCACCTGACCTGTGCATCCATGCGAGCCTTCCAGACCCACGCCCCATGTCCTTGAGGTTGTCGAACATCTCCAGCGCATTTAGAATCGCCTGTCGAAAAAGCATTGCTTCGTGTAGTTTGGTTTGCTTCTTTGGAAGTCTTATTTGCGGAGCCCATTCGAGGATGTCAAGGAATTGTTCTTACTGTGATCGTCCTGCAGACCTCAAGAGCTGCTGCGTCATCTTTTCTATGTCGAGTTGCCGGAGTGGTCTCCATTGTGCGGCTTCAGGACAGAGGGCAAGAAGCTGCAGCCCAACGCCAGCACTTAAAAGTCATTGATGTTGGTGCAACGCAATGGTAGTCCGAACTCCCGAAAAAACACCCCGCTTGAGGGTCGCGAGTCTCCATGTAGACAAGCAGATCCGTTTCGAAAAGCGCACGAAACGCACTAAAGCGCTGCTCACAGACTCGGACGGATAAAAGTTCCCCCGGCTTATGCCCCGAAGCGCTGCGGCAGCGCCTGGTCCATGTTGAAGTATTTGTACGATGCGAGTCGCCCCACAAATGCCACACCCTCGAGACAGGAATGAGGCGCAGGGCAAGAAGTTGAGATTTTGAATTGCAGATACTTGCGGCTCTAAGCCCTGAAGCTGCGGAGCTAACGCTCTTGATACCAGTACGAGTTCCGGCCTCCTCGCGCGCAGCGAGGTCTGCATACTTCTCGTACAGAGCCCTGGCCGATAGGGCATGATAGGTCACATAGAACACTGCGAACCTCCCAAAGCCTTCACAAGCCTTCGACTTACAGCATTCCTCGCTCACACCCTGCGCTGCCTATTGGCAGGGTTTGGAACTGGGTAGTACGGCTCTCCTTCTGCCGAAGAGTATTCTCTGGCCTCACAGCTGCAGATACTCGACTTCTCGACTTCTACAAGTCAGCACCCCCAACAAGGGCTCCGGGCGATCAACGTCCCTTTCACCTTGCCCTCTTTCACTTCCTGCGGCTGGTTCGGGACGTGCTTGTACCTTCATTTGAAAACAAGGGGTTCGAGCGACTCGCACAGGGCCCCAATGGGCCCCACACATCATCAACACCAGGATGAAGGCATATGAAGGCCGAGACTCTCCACGATACGTGTGAAGGGGACGTCCGGCGACGGATGGTTGACGACCATGGCCTGGAACACATCCACGGCCCAGAGAAACCAAGTCTGCATCATTCTGCCATAGATCTATTGCCACAGACCCTGCACGAGCCCAGTGTCTTCCCAATGTCTTGGCCACTACACTACTGACAGCAAGTACAAACCTGCCGGACACACACCCACACACCCACACACGCACACACGCACACACGCACACACGCACACACGCACACACGCACACACGCACACACGCACACAACGCACACACGCACACACGCACACACGCACACGCGCACACGCGCACACGCGCACACACGCACACACGCACACACGCACACGCACACGCACACGCACACGCACACGCACACGCACACGCACACGCACACGCACACGCACACGCATACACTGAAAACCCGAACCAAGCCGTGGATGTAGTCGCACAATGCCTCTTGGAAGAAGCCGCCATCCGGATCAGGCAAGAACTCCTCCTGAGCTCCGGGTGTTCTGGAAAATTTGAGCCTGTGACAACAGGATCAACAGGAACTGTCCGCAGTTCGCAACCCTAAGCTGCTGAGGCTGCTAGAAGCTGGAACCAAAGGGGGGCCCTTCTCTTTAAGGGTGGGCTCCCATAAGCAGGCATGGAAAACATTGGAATGACTGAAGCCGCCTCTCCTCGAAGCGCAACGACCGGTACTCCAGTTTTGGCATTCCCAATGCTGCATAATAACCTCGGCTTTTGGAATCCGTGCCGCCTGAAGCTACACATGTGAGGTTTTGTAGGAGTCTTTTGCGACTTGAAAAGTACAAGTGACAAGCTCGGAAGCAACCGTATTCACGCAACTATGTCGGACGTTTTTCGCGGGGCCTGTGCCGTGGCATTGGCCTCCAGACTTGGCGATGGGGCTGCGATGCAGAACTAAGAGTTGATGGCTCAGAGCTGCCGCCAAGTTGCTGTCAATCTGCCCTGACACAAGCTGACGCAAGCCAGCGCAACAGTGACGGATCTTCATGCTGAGAAGAGAACTCTACAGACATCTGCCGATTCTGCCGAGGCTAGGCTGGCTAGGCTGGCTGAGCTGGCTGTTCCATAGGACGCCCTCGCCCCTCAGCCTGTGTACACCAGCAGCTTGTGCTTCGGCAAGCTGCCGGCCTCCTGTGATGGCGGAACGGATAGGAAAGAAACAAGGAAACAGGAGCCAGAGCTCTAATATGGCTCACTGGAGGCACAGCTGGCATAGGGGGGAACCATGGCAACCTTCAGCTTGAAGAAGTCGCAGTTCAGTCGAAGGGTGATGTTCGGATCCCCGAGCCTGAGCTTTCTCGATATCTCCCTAGTGGTAAGAAGACAGCGCCGATCTCTCACATGCTGCTTGCATCACTGGTGCTGTAGGTAAACTAAGAGGATCCCTTTCGAGTCTGGTCACCACCATGGCAGCAAGCCATCCCCGCAGATGCTTCAAAGATGCAACATGTTCTCGAAGATCCGCGTGTAGCCCCGCCGTGGCAACGCCTGTTGGGCTTCAAAGCCACGGGTTGCGATGGGCGTAGTTGGGCTTAGTCGGGCTCGGGTACAGTAGAGAAATAGCTGCTCGACAATCCAAGCATTCTGGGAAGCGAGGGATACAAAGAAGAGGGAAGGTAGTAACTAAACATAGCCCCGCTCAAAAATACTCATTCTGTCAAAGATCTCTTCAGGTTCGAAAGGGATCGATGCGGTCCATGTGTACTTCCCTCGAAAACCCCATTTGAATGGCCAAATTCGGTTGTGCCTGCCATGGGTCGGGGAAGTACCGATCGTCTGTAGATGTTCTGCATGGCAGCCGAAGCAAGACGCTTGCATCAAGCTCCGCCGGGTATTTGTCCTGTCGTGGCATTTTCAAAACCCGGGGTTTGGGTGCTTCGCGTGCTGGGCCACAAGATCGGGAACCGGCTGCAGCCTCATGCGCCGTTGCTCGATGTGTTGCATGTACTTGTGCCAGGAAAAAACTCGCCAAACTTCGACATTTAAAAAAGAACCCGCACGCATGAAATCCGCGCAGCAGCACGAGTCAGTTTTAACCCAGTGGTCCCATTGCTTCTTGGTGTAATGCTTGAAGACTTTCTCGAAGAGCCTGCAAAGGGAAGGTGCCAGGAGAATTCACCGCTCTCTGTCAACCTGCTGTCGGTCCTCTAGTTTCAACTGGTTTCAACAAGCGCGTCTGCAAGTTTTCTGAGTTTAATGGAGGTGCGCTCTGCGCCTCAGGCTCAGGGAATAAAGGCAAACACGAAGTACTCCCCCCCCAAGCACACAAGGCCAGGCAGCGGCCGTGGCTGATGCAGGGGATGCCAAAACAGCCATAACTGTAACAGAAGCGCAGCCCAACTGCATTGCAGTTTCAGCGCTGGCGGGAAGTTCATCAGATACTTCCCAAACTCCGCAGAAGAGTTGCAAAGGTAGCAGCAGGGTACAGTAGCAGAGGCAACGGAACTTCAACAGATACTAGCTGAATGATGCAAGAATTGGAGCCTCGGTCCGACACGGGACAAGGCGGCTTCCTCACCGTTCTTGGGCTCGCCACCTGGGCGAGGCGGTTTCGGGTGGCTTGAGGACTACTCACGTAAACTCTGCGTAAACGGGCTGCGTAGACTGTGCACACCCCAAAAGGGTGCGGAGAGTGCAGAGAATGCGTGCACTACTCTTGCAGCTTCGCCACCCGGAGGGGCCAAGCGCTCCTTGTCATACCAGGCCTGGACAGAAGCCAGTCCAATGAGTCTCGTTCCCTCCCCTTCAACCCTTTTTGTCCAGGCTTGGCTTGTGAAGATGGTAGTGGTATGTAGTGGTGTTCGGCCCAGTAGTGGCTTAGAGTTGGTCGAGGTCAGATTCCAGAGCCTCTCAAGGAAGGATGCTTGGGAAGTGGGGTTTGGGGGCTTGTTTGTGGGCTTCTGGAGGCCAAGGTGGTGGGTGTGAGAAACAGTGTGTTTGCATACGTGTGTGGGTTTCGGGTTGACGGCATGCAGTCACTAAGTGGTGCGGGCCATAGGCACGCAATGACGCGCAATGGCAGGGGAACAACACTTTGCACCTTTGCGCAACCTGCACCTCGAAACAGATCGCTTACTGTGAGCGACCAGATCCGTTGTGCCTGCATATCAGACTCGCTGTGCACACTCTCCTCGAAGAGTATGTTTACTGTCTCCTGGTAGCAGGCTTGAGGTTTCTTTCGACTTGCTCGTTAGCAAGCCTTGCATGTATCAACCAGCGACTCAGCAAAATCTCTTGCTAAACCACGATCATAAGCCTTGAAGAGCCTGCCAAAAAAACAAGATGTCACAGCTGGCAAATGCAAAGTCCTGAGTGGGAGGAATGGGAACCAAGCGCTTTACACCAGCCTAGGCAGAGGAGCAAGTGACAGTGGAAAATGTTGCGTTTCGTCTCCAACCAGCTGCATATGAGCTAAGGTCGCCACCTTGTCTTCCACCAAGCCCTTCACGCGGTGGTCGAAGGGGATCCACTGAGAGAAGCCCAACACCTTGACGGCGTGAGGTGCCAATGTCATCAGAGTCCAAGAAATAGTTACCCTACCAACAGGTCACCTTACAATGTGCTGGGAGAAAACCGTAAATCGGGACTCCAAGCACGTGGAACAACACATAAGTAGAGAAGAGCTTGTCCCTTATGTGGGCTGTCCCCTATTCTTCACGAGGAATCTGACGTTCTTCGCCGAAAGTGCCAAGTCTTTCACGGCTGCCTTCACGAGCATTCTCGGATACAATGACATAAGAACAACCACACAGCATGCTATCATAATTTTCGCACAAAGTCTCTGGCGGAATTTTCTCCAGTCTTCCATGTGCCAGTCCATCGCGCCAGACATTGCAAGAAACGATCACACCCCAAAACGTTCGTCCCAAACAAGAACTCAAGGCAGTCTTCCCCTTTCCGGACTAAACACTGAAGAACTCATCCTCTTGAACACTCCAAACTCCAGGCGACCCTGCATCCAAAACCCACACAGCCAGGTCACATAATCCCAAACCCGCTCGAACTGAGTGTGGAAGAGGTGCGCCCCATACTTGGAACAGCGAATGCCGTTCGAGTCGACCTGGGAGCACACGCCTGCGCTCGTGACACTGTTCCCCAAAAAGAGTAGCATTACACCTATACAACCGGTTGGTCCCCCTAACGCCCACAATTCTGAATAACAACGAGTGCGCTGTTGGATCACGGCTAGGTCCACGGCATAATCGTAGCCTCGGCACCGAAAAGATGAGATTGAGACTTTGAACGAACCCGACCCCGATCCCGAAAACAACCAAAGGCTCCCCATTGAGGCGCTTCAGTCGGGACTGTACTTTGTCTGAGGTCCCGGCAATTGCCACCTATGTGATCTCGCTTATCCTCGGGCCAAGTCATTAGTGTCTTTGAAAACTGCGGATCTTCTGAGCTCAAGTGAGGAAAACATCTCGGTCATTCAGAGCAAAAGCAAAAAGTGATCACCTTCAAGCTTTTTTCCATGCAACGAGAAGAGCCGTGAAAGCTGCTGCGAAGCTGTAAGCAGGAACAAGAAACCCAAAACTTCGAGCAATGGCAAGTCGTGGGGAACTTCAGACAACACATTCTAGATGCCACATCCCTAAGCCCACGCCTATGAAAACAACACGATAACCTGGAGGCAAAGCCCAGCCAGCCCCCTGAGCCCCTCTGAGCCCCTTAAGCCCTGCTCGGGCCGGGTCAATGATCAAGGAGGTCATCCCCAGCTTGCTGCAGCGCTCTGCCAACACAGCGCCTTACGAGCTCTGCCAGAACGCACGTTGATGCAGCTTGTAAACCCGTCACTCACAAATCACAACTCCAACTTCCACTGATAGCGATACTACGAATCATCACTGAAACCTGGCTCGAGCTGCCCAATTTAACCTTTCAAACTCCAGCAATAAAAATGCATGCCATCACTCAAGCTTCTTCCACGTTGCTCCAAAAACCGGGTTTTCCCACTTTTTGCGCATTGGATTTCTTGGACAACTTGGGCAGAGACCGGAAAGCCCAGCCCCCACGATGAGCAAATCGATCGAATCCGGTGCAGTGCTGACATCCTCGGTTTGAGTCAAGTTCGTGAGATTGATTTGAGGTCACGCGCTGGATACGCAGGTTTGCTGAATGACAGGTAGTCGTAAACATGTTTCGAACAGTTCTGGAAATTTGCCATTGTGGTTAGGGCAATCACTGACCACCAACGCAAAGTCTTTGCAAAATGTCAACTTCTTGCGGCCGACATGGCTACAGTGGCTACAGGCCAGCATGCAGCAGTACATCTCGCAAAGGCAACTCGCACATTCAACATCCTGTGTCCACCGCTTTGGATGAAAAGAACAGCCCAACCCTCATGGCATGTGACAAATGAGGCATGCACACCACTCAAAACTGCGTCATCGAGCTGCAAGGGGGCCTGTCAGCTTTTCCCACGAACTGGCATTTTGCCATGCTTCTGGGCACTAGAACTCGGGCATGACATTCTTCAAGCAACCCAGCCAAGGTGTCACAGCAACCACACGCCTGCGTGATAACATGTGATAACACTGCCGTGCTGCTGTGGATGCCTCCGAGCTCTCACCGGAATCGAAGATCGGATCCTGCCAGCGCTTGGAGCGTGAAGGGCAGATCGGGTCGGCATGAACCGTCCATGAACAAACATGAGCAAACATGAACAAACAACATAAACAGCAACATGCTCAACATGCCCCAGCAAGATGGAAAAACACACGTTGCCTCACCACCAACTTGTCGGTCCTTGCCGACGATCTCTTGCACTTTGTTGAGTGCGGCCTCATTCATTTCGTTTGCTGCGGCGCAACCAAACACTCACCCAACATCATCGACATGATGCTCTGCACTGTCTGCGCATCTGGCCCATTCTGGTTCTGCTCGACCAACGCCAACGGTAGAAGCAAATGGGCCAATTGGCATGAACACTTCCCTATGCACACGAAAACAGGAATCGCCAAACTAAAAGCAACAAAAGGCAAAAACTATTGAGCCATAACACTTCAGCGCAAGCACAGCTTTGCAAACAGCCAAATAAATTTTCAAGATTGCTGAAAAAAAGGCCCGAGGCCCATACCCCCTAACAACATTCACTTTCCCCATACATTTTGACATACGCATGATGCGCGTGTTAACTTGAAGAAAAACATCGTACTTGTTCTGCAAATGTACGCCTAACACTCATGGACAAGATGTGAAGGATCGACTTGCTTCCCAATGTGCGTAGGGCGAAAAGCCATGTGTCTGTAGTCAAAAAGGATGTGCCAAAGTCAGACGCGTTCAGGCAACCAGCCACGAGTCGTGGTTTTCCTTTCGCGCTGAAACATGTATCTCCGAATGCCAAAATCATGTCGCATTTCTTGTTGTCTCTAAATCTCTAAATGTGTTCACAAGTTCTGGTGCGATTTTCCTAAGCACCGCAACATAAATTGTCCACAACAAACCCATTTGCCCGCAGTCCCCCAAGTTTTGTCCGCAAGCTGCTTTCCACAAATTCCACAAACGCTTTGCAATCGTTCCGCAAATCTTTCCGCAAATTCGCAAGTGTACACCGCCCCCCAAACTGGTGCGCGGAATCCCCAACTAGACATCAGGGCTCACCCAACAGACCAACAAAAAAACGATAATGGCCATCTGGCACGAATAGCAGCGAAAGGCAAGTCAAAGCCTTCAAACGATTTGGAATCGGAACCTACACAGGCAGTCTGTCGAAAATACTCGACTCGAGACGCACACAATTGCGACCGCAACAAACGACTGGCAGCTTTTCCTTGAGAAGACAGACAGACAATTCACAAAGGAGCCTTCGACCATAGAAGTGCAGAACTCGCAGGGTATCTCCAAGCAGTCGAAAACGCACAGGCCGCTGATGAGGCCGCGCCTCTTGGAACAGAGCAACAATCACGTCAGAACACGGGCTCAAAAAATTGTAATTTCAATTGTGCTGTTGTTGTTTCTTCGCGATTTTGAAGTCCCCTTTGCGTCTCAGCGAGCTGCGGAAGCATGAAAATGAAACACAAGGATAAAAAGCCCAAATTTGCAAAAAAATGAGACGGATAGCTATCGACGACAAAACAAGCAATTTAACACGACAAAAACAAAAATATACATTTTTTGTTTGGGAAAATATGCATAATCATGGCAACGAAACACTGGGCGGCCCAATTGGGGTTGGTAACCGCTGTCCATGTCAACAAAGGCACCACTAGCAACACTAGCTGTTGGTGATGGCACTTCCCCAGAATCTTGTCCGCATCTGCTTTCCAGAAAGCGTACCGTCAGGTAATTACAACTTGCTCCAAAGCAGCTAGGGCGTTGGAGAATAAGTGTGGCAAGCTGATGCCAGTCGGGGTATTGCCACTTGTCATTACCGCACAGTTTGGCCCAGAAATGATTGAGGCCTAAGATGCTGGACCCTACAAAATCAATGTGCCCCCGGCAGCTGCCGTTGCTTTTCTGGCAGGCAGAGCCTACGCCAGGCCCACCTGCTGCACAACAGCCAAGGCTCAATGCTTTTGTCCGCGTGCAGTTCCATGCATACATGTCGTTAGGATTGACAGTACCGACACTTCGATCCCAATGACGCGCCGGTGACTTTCCTGGATGCGGTGAGAAGGGCAATTGCGGCTGCAGTGGCTGACCAAGATATTGAGCTGCGCAATCTGGAGTGAGGATGGTCCCGCCCAACCTGGGTTTAACCCAGGTTCAAACAACCAGGGTCCGGACGTCGGGAGGGGGGGGGGGCAAACAACAACAACTCAGGAACCCAGGTTCGGAACCCAGGTTCCAACCCAGGTTCGAACCCAGGTTCCAACCCAGGTTCGACCCCAGGTTTGAACTTAGGTTCAAACCCAGGTTCAAACCCATGGATAGAATTTAGATTTCGAATAATAAAGACAAGAAACAAAAACAAGAAACGAAGAGGTGGAATTTAGACTAGTTCTTTACTCTATTCTCAACTTCTCTACTTTTTCGAATTACAAGAATAATGAAGACAAGAAACAAAAACAAGAAACGAGAGGGGTGGAATTTAGACTAGTTCTCTACTCTCATTCTCTTTGTTTCTCTGATTTCGAATAATAAAGACAAGAAACAAAACAAGAAACGAGGGGGGTGGAATTTAGACTAGTTCTCCACTCTCTTCTCTACTTCTCTAATTTTCGAATTACAAGAACGATGAAGACAAGAAACAATTTTTTGTTGCGGAAGCCCCTTTACCACATCAGCAGCACAGTGGGCCGGTCTATTGCGACGAGGTGAGACAGACAAAACTACCCAAGAACCAGGAGCAGCACCACGAACAAGAACCAGAACAACAAACGCAACAGCAAAATCACCCTAGCGGTGAGACATTCCCCTCTCTCAGAGCACGATGAAGTCGATGTAGATCCGTAGTTGCATTCTTGCATCACGCTGCAAAGGGGGAGGCCGCAAAATGCGGGAGCATAGCAAGAAAACAAAATGAAGACAAGAAACAAAAACAAGAAACGAGGGGGGAGGAATTAGACTAGTTCTCTACTCTCATTCTACTTTCGAATTACAAGAAATAAAACAAAAAGAACCGAGGGAAAGTGGAATTAAAATCAATTCCTCCACTCTGTTTTGAGCCCAGATTCAAACCTGGGTTCCAACCCAGGTTGGAACCTGGGTTCGAACCCGGGTTGAACCCAGAGTTCAACACAGGTTCAAACCCAGGTTGGAACCCAGGTTTGAACCTGGGTTCCAGACCCAGGTTTGAACCTGGGTTCGCCGGAAAAAGGTTGTTCAAACCTCGCTTCAAGAACCTGGTTGGAGAATTTTTTCCGCGTTCAAATTGAGGTTTGCGAGTTCACCATCATCTTGGTGTTTGGGACAGGAGTCCGTGCTGCTAAGCACTAATCACACTAGCCTACAGGAGGAAATTCTTGTCCTTCAGCAGCAGAGGTTGACTGTACAGGTAGAAAACCCTCCGCTACAAGTACCACTACTGAGGGCGGGACCTCAAGAGGTCTTTGCCTCAGCCTCTCAGTGGAGGGCGGCACCTCTTGCTGCAAAGCTCCACCAACCACTTCTCTTTCTTCCTAGTCGGTCAGAGGGTAGGACTTCTTTCGGATTTGCGCCGTCGCCAGCTCCAAAGTCCGTTGAACACCCTCATCCCGACTAGTCAGTTAGAGGGCAACCCTCCGGGTGGACAGCAAGACAGTCTGCACTTGAACTCGCGACCCCTCGGCCACAGGCACCAGTTACCTGTACAAACTGGTTTCTTGGCCCATCTTACAGGGTTGTCCGCCTGCTCCTAGGCCGAGAGGGAAAGGAATTGTAACCTCTGCTCAGCCTGCAGCCCTGTGGGCCCTGGGCAGTGAAGTCCGCCAGTTCACAGCCCGAGGATGCCACCTCCACACTCCGGGGGTCGGAGCGCCCTCCAGAAAGCACCTCCAGAAAACTACCCTGAGCGAGGGTGGATGAGACCACCAAGACAAGGTTTATGTCGCCAGGTTTGGGGAACTGCACCCCTCAACTCGGTAAATTTGGCGCAGGGTCGACGCCTCAATAAGGCGTCGGGGACCACGCTTTCCCCTCAATTCCCCATGCACTAATGCGCACTGGCGCGGGGAACCACGCCGCGCAGAGACCAAACCCAAAAAACATAAACCTCAAGCATCACCTAGAGCAGGGAACCTTGCCTCTGGTAGCTATCCCGCGCACAGGTACTGCCGCGTCTGAGCCAGGATGCAGGCACTAGCCTTAGCACCCCAGGTTCAGTGTGGATTTACTGGAGATGAGTCCCAGTCACGGCCAAGGTGGACAAACTGAAGTTCCTGAAACTAAGCCTGGTAGGACTGGGCATTGCCCAGCAGTGCAGGATGGCCCTGTGTACCACTCATCTCAAAGAGCCATTGTTCCTGAACTGGTTTGCTACCAGTGAAGGCTTTCGCCCGTTACAATGTAGCAGGCTTCCAGAAGGGGCATGTGGTTTCGGCCTGCTGGCCACTCCATCACGTTCCCTAATCGCCACAGCAAACTCCCAAACATCCTAGCTATGCAGGGATCGCAAGAGGCGGCAACCGATCTGCACTGGGCAGCAGCACTGTCCACCGGCTCTTGCCCCTATCTGTTCGGGTCAGAGGGTCTGCACCTCTATACTGCCTCGACGCTACTCAGCCACGAGGCCTGAGGAAGGCAATCCTTGTTTTTGCACGTTCGCTGAAACTCTGCTCCAGGGCCTAGGTACGCGGAAGTGCCTTTCCGGGGTAGCTGGGCTCAGTCGAAGGACGCAACCTTCCACTCTCAGCTCACCTCTGAGGTTACGATAGGCACGCTATCACCTCTTAGAGGGTGGGCTGCATGGCATCTAGGCGGCTACCCCTACCTGAAAGCGGCCTACCACTTGCCTTCACACTGGGTTCGAAACCCAGGCTCAAACCCAAACTATTGAACTATTAGTTCGCCCCGGGGACCATACCTGTCTGGAGCGGCCTGATGCGAAGTCTGCCAGCAATGTCTCGTTTAGAACAGTTCTTCCTGGACAGTGACAGCTTGGTATGTCGGCAGTTCGAGGAGGCCCAGTGCAGCAAACGGTAGCGCTGGTTTCTAACGCAGCAGATGAGTTCAAGCTTGCTGCAGAGACCATGGGTTGGACACCCATGCCTGCGCTGCCAAACCGTTTCCTCACAATTCGCACAGCATGGATAGTGACTCAAGCTGTTTTATGCACGGCAGTGACCAACCCCAGGGCAGCCAGCGCAGTGAAGGCATTATAGCAATTTTCCGGACCCTCTCCCCGAGGAGAGGGCTGTGGCCTCTCCTTATCTGAGCCGAAAAACTTTCTCATTCGGAGAATTCGAAAATTTTTCTCCGGAAAATAAAGGTCTGTACTTGCAGCACGACAACCTTATTTTCCAAACAAAAATGTTTCAAACGCAGAAACACAATTCGGGACCCGA